TTTTAAATATACATGCTGTATGATCAATACATTTATTGTAAGTATCTTAATTAATTAAAAACACTTTAAATATTATATATCATATGCTCACAATTAATTTTACATTTGAGATACATCTTGTCACGGGGTCAAATTTTCGTCACAATTTCAACCCGGTGCGGCGACTTAGTCCCCTTAGACTTTATCCTTTTTCCTCTCAATTTGCTCTCGTGTTTGGCCTACCGACTATGATGTTTTACACCCCCAAGAGGCTTTTCCCAAAATCCTACAAATAATAGGCAACACACTACAATAGACAAGAGTAAATCAAAGTTTGTGCACATAATATTACAGGAAAACTCCCAACCTTTTATTAACCCGGTAACAAAGGAATACACTTTGATTTCGGTGTCTCTCTCTGTTCAAAGCACATCCCCCTCTCCTTTTTATCACAAAGGATCATTGGAAGTTACATAGGAACTGCTATCTAACTTATCCATATAAATGCGGGACAGATTGGCCGGAGGCAAGTAACTCGTCGATAATTGCCTCTCGATAATTGCCCCTTCTAGAACTTCCTTTGGCTCGCCACCCTACGTACCACTTTAAGCACCCAACCGAGCCCTCTCTCTCGACTGCTCGTGTTCCCACGTAACTTGGACAACCCTCCATCCAAGTCCGAAGTCGTGCCGAATATGAACCCGTTGTTCGCACGCATCCGTTATACATCGCCGTCGAATCCGCTAAGGCCCATGCAAGCTACCAAGATCCCGGGAATGCTATCATTGGCGCAACCCCGCGCCTAGCACCGTGACAAACCACCCCCACCGAAAGGTCCGACGCCCTCGTCGGAATTGAAGTGAGGTACTCCCGCACCTTTTCTTCAAATTGCCACAAGTCGTTGTCCTTCTCCCACAAAACCTCCCCATTTTTAGCCCATTTTACTAAAAACTCGTTCGTCGATTCTTCTTGTATTGACCAAGTCGACGGTGATCCGGAATCTTCACAATCCCATCGTCAAATTGCTTCCGAACCACTCGGGGAGCTCGTTTTGACTTGTTTCTTTTCAAGTCCTCCCGGTCTTCATAATAAGGCTTCAAATAGCTCACATGAAATGTAGGGTGGAGCTTCAAGTGTTCGAGCAAAACCAACCTATAAGCCATAGCTCCCACCTTTTTCTAATTTCGAAAGGTCCCTCATATTTTGGAATCAACCCTCGCCGCACCAATCGTCGGTGATTTTTTTTCAAATTTGAGGTGTCAATTTGAGCAACACCTTGTCGCCCACATCAAACTCTAAGTGGTCTCCTTTTTAAGTCGAGCATACTTCTTCACTCGCTTGCGGCCTTCCGCAAGCTATCTTGGGCTTGAGCCAACAACTCTTGTGTAACGTCCCCGCCCGGTCATATTTCTACTACCCAAGTAGAGTACTCGGACGAAACGCGTTATGCTCGACATACCCTAAACTCTAAGTAGTTCTCTTAAGATATTTTTAGAACTTTAACGAGTACATTATGTATATAACTCCTTAAGATAAAATTCACATAGCATAATTAAATACATTAATAAAACATTACGAGCAATATTCAATTTCTCATGAACTTCATACCCCAAATTTACGGATAAAATAAAAACTAATATATGGTGCCTCACATGAGCCGATTAGGAGGAGCTAGCCGCATCCGTACCAACTTGTCTCTTTTCCGTCAAGACATAAAAAAATAACAACGAGTGAGCCGAAGCTCGGTAAGTAGAGTGATGCACGTGATATGCAATGCTGTTTTGACTTTCCAACCATACTAATAAATTTTAATCTCGGGTACCTAGGTATTAGCCGATCTACTCTATTTATCATCTAGGTGATCCGCGAGATAACCTTCTGCTACAACGAAATTATCCCTCGTTATACTTCTATTAGCGGGAATTCATCGTCTAATAGTGCGGACACACGACCTCAGAGTACTTGGACTACTAATACCCATTTATTTTAGTTAGGTTATCAAACCTAGATGTATAAACCATTTCTCAATCAAATGACTTGTCTTAAACCACCCACTATGCACATGATGCACGTGATGACATATTTAATCATATTCAACCAAATTTGGGTACCAACCCTTCATTCTCATGCCATACTCACGGTTCAATCCACACTCGGAATTTATCCATTGCTCACACACCAATCATGATACCCACGAGAGGAAACACAATCTCGAGCTTATTAATATTGTTCATTAGTTTCATTAATATTTAAAAGAAGGTCCAAGTCCATTTACTTTAATTCGAGCCCATTAACTTTATCCTAGGTCCATTGACTCTATTTAATTCTATTTTATTTAGTCCAAGCTCATTTAGTTTATTCCAAACCTATTAATTTTGTCCAAGTCTAATTTTTTGTTTTAGGACTTATTACCGGAAAACTCCTAATCGAGTAAATAATTTTCTAATTTCAGAACATAATTAAATCTTACTCATTTTATTTTATATACTAGACATATTTATTTATAACATATCCAAAAATTAGCTCTAAATACCAAGTACAAAATTAATTATAAATTTTTGAAACTTAGGGAGCAATCTGCCTAATAGTAGTTTATCTATAGCTATCCATACTAAATCAGGTATAACTCTTTGTACACGAATCCAATGACCAAGAAATTTTAAAGGAAGTTAGTTGAAACATAGATGAACAACTTTTATGCTTTAATTTTCACCTAGAAATCGATATAAAATCCTTGGACATACACCCCAAAATTCGGACAGAATTTACTCTTTATTAAAACTAATTTATTAGTTCATTCCAAGCCAACTTTAAACATGTTTTAGTTCACTTAAATTTAGTCCAAGTTCAATCCAACTCATCACCATATACTTGGACATTTTCAAAACATCATAAACATCATAAATCATCACAACAAGGCATCCATACATAGATTTATCCTAAGCATCAAGCATATAACCATTGAAAATTATTACAACCCATGAAATAAACACTAACAAAATAACTTAAAAAAATAATTTAAGACTTTAATCAGCCAAAAAAATGAAACCTACTTACATTGCTTTAGTTTCCTTAAGGTTGTTTAGGTTCTCCCCTTCTTTCTTTCCTTTCCTTTCCTTTTTCTTTCTCTCCTCACTATCATGTTTTTCTCTCTTGTGTGTTACGGGTTTCTTTCTTTTTTTGCCTAAACCTTCAGCCAACTTCCGCTCTTTCTATATATATATACCTCCCATTTTCTTTCCCTAAGTATAGATACATGTGGCTTAAATGTATTTGATAAGGAGTAAAGTAAATGGATATTTCATGAAGCAATGGACGAATTTGCATGGTAAGCTACGAGTGAGTCGGCATGGTGAGTTGTCTTAGGGCATTTAATGAAATTGCTAGGTGTCTTACCCTTTTAATTAACCTAAATAAACCATTATAGTATCTTATTTCATATATTAATTAAGCTAATTAAGTTACTAAATTCGTTTGGTCCTAATTACACACACATCTCAAGTCTATTTGGAGAAGCTATCTTACAGGACAGACCTCTTCTCCAATAGAAACGTTACACTTATAGATACCATTAAATCTTATGATTTTTATACGATAAACACGAAATATCAAGGTAACACATATCCAAAATTTAGGTCAAAATACCAACAAATGACTCACAATGAATTCTTAAAGTTTAAGGATAAATCTGCCTAGCAGGATTGTGTCTAGAATGATATATACTAATATGGGTATAACGTTTTATATATAAATATAAAAATCACCAAATTTTATATAAAGATAGTAGACACATAAATGAAAAATGTTTATTCTTTACATTTTTCTCAACCATCAATCTAGCATCATCAAATAAATCCCATAAGATTCGAGCGGATTCTTCTTCCGAAATTCCAGCAGAATGCATTTCGAACAACCCTCACCATAATGGATATAACTCTTAATGTATGAGTCCAAAAATTATAAACTTTTATACAGGTATATACAACACATAGATGAACAACTTTTATTCTTTAAGGTTTACCCAAACATTACTCTAAAGTGCTCAAATAATTCACACAAAACTCGGGCAGAATATAGTCCTTAAAACACTGATTTTGCATATTTGATTTCTTTAATAATTAAGCCATTAATCTTAAGCACAATAACTTTAATTTAACATAAATCACATATTTCAAGAATTAATTTCTCATGATGAAATGAGAATTATACTTACTCTTAATATATATATATATAGAATTATTTTAATACACGTCGCGTTACGGATAAGGGTTTTTACGAGGGTTACATCCCGCCTCTCCAATGCAAATTGGTATGCCGCTGGACTTTTCCCACCAGATTTCGTACCGAGATCTCTAGGGGAGTTTGGGGCTGCATCCCTAGCACCAACTCAAACGGACTTGCCTTTGTTGCAAATGACTTATGGAGGTTGTAGCAAAATTGAGCACCATCCAACAACTCTAGCCAATTTCGCTGCGTTGTTGTCACATAATGTCACGAGTACTCCTCCAACAAGGCATTAATCCTCTCCGTCCGCTCATCCGTTTGTGGATGATTGACGATGGAGAACTTCAGCTGCGTCCCCATCATATTAAACAAGGTTGTCCGAATCAACCCGTGAAACGCGCATCACGATCCCCGACGATGTCCGATGGCACCCCAAAGTACTTCACCACATTTTGGTAGAACATCCCGAGTAGCCACATCCGTCGTGCAAACTAAGGGAGCGAGCAACAAAAACCGCATACTTAGTGAATCCGTCCACGATTACAATTATCGCATTCATGTTGTCTACCTTTGAAAAACCCACGATAAAATCCATTGAAACCGACAACCAAGGTTTCTCTAGAATCGGCAACGACCGAAGCAACCCCGCCTCATGTTGCCGTGAAGTCTTGTCTTGCTCGGCACACTAGACAAGTCTTTACAAATAGCTCCACATCCTCATCCATCGTTGGCCAAAAATAAGTTTGCGACAACAAAGCCGCATCCTCTCCCTTCCCGGATGTCCGACCACTCGCGGATCATGTGTCTTTGACATCAATAATTTTCGCAGACTTCCCATTTAGCACAAAGATTCGACCCTCTTTCGCATATAGGAGATCATTGTCCAGCCAATATCTCCGCACTATCCCTTTTCGTACAAGACTAGCCAACTTCTTGTACGATTCATCCTCCTCGATAGCCTGGTGAAGTCGTTCAACCATGTCCGACTCCACCTATACAAGGAAAAAAAGGTAGCAAGCACCTCACGCCCGCTTAGTGCATCCGCAACTTGATTATGTCGCCTTGGCTTATGCTCCCACACAAAGTCATACTCGGCTAGAAACTCTTGCCACCGAGCTTGCCTCCGAGATAGCCTTCTTCGTGTCTTAAAAAAAGTGTTGGCCACATTATCCGTCTTCACTATGAATCTCAACCCCAACGGATACACTCGTCACACACCCAAGCAATGGACTACGAGTTGTCATTTCTTTTTCATGTGTCGAATATTTTTGTTCCGCCTCATTTAGCTTCCAACTTTTAAATGCAACTGGATGACCCTCCCGTACCAGTACCCCCTCAATGGCCTTATCCGAAGCATCGGTATGCACTTCGAAAGGCCTCTCAAAGTCGAGCGATCTCAACACTAGAGGTCGACGTGACAGCTCTCTTCGGCTTGTCGAATGCTCATTGGCACTCATCGGTCCAATTCCACCTTCCGTCCTTCTTTAACAAATCGGACGGAGGAGCCGCCCTTTGCTATATTCCTCAATAAATCGACAGTAGTAGTTTGCGAACCTTAAAAATGATCGCAATCCGGACATCGATGTATGGGCCTCCCACTCTAGGATAGCTTGTACCTTCCTTGGATCCATCCTCACTTGACCCTCACTCGTCCAAGTGACCTAGGAACATAATCTCAGCACATGCAAATTCACACTTTTTCCTCTTTACAAATAGATGATGTTCCCTAAGTTTATTTAAAACATCCGACAAATACACTACATAATCATTCAAGTTCCTATTGTAAATCACAATATCATCCGGATAGACCACAACACAATTATCTAGGAACTCATATAGCACATCATTCATCAAATTACAAAATGTAGTTGGAGCATTGGTTAGGCCAAATGGCATAACCGAAACTCGTATGAACCATACCTCGTCACACAAAGTCGTCTTGTGCTCATCCTCCTCGACAATCCTCACTTGCCAATAACCGGACCTCAAATTTAGCTTCGTGAAGACAAGCAGCTCCACACAACCCGTCCATTAAATCCTACACCAGCGGTACTCGGATATTTGTTCTTTATCGTCACCTTGTTCGAGTGCACGATAATCCACACACATCCGAAGACTTCCATCCGCCTTCTTTTGGAACGAACGAGAGCACCATAAGGAGCTTTAGATGGTTGAATAAACCCGGCGCCTATTAACTCTTCCAACTCGTCTTCTCAATTTTCCTAAATCCCTTGGAGACATTCGATAAATAGGTTGCGATGGTGTTGTCGAACCAAGCACAAGTTCTATTACGTGGTCAATGGCCCTTCTCGGTGAAAGCTTTTTGGCAACTCGAGAGGCATTACATCCGAGTATTCCTTCAACAACCTAGCAATGACATCCGATACACACTCCGTTGGTCCCGAATCCTTCCTCATTGCTACCGCCAAAACCACTTCACCACCCTTCTTCAAGGCCTTATTAATTGCGATGGTCGAAATGATGTTACGGTTACCCTTGCTGTTTTCGACCACCGAAGTTTTCTCACACAACACAAAATTGGAGCATGTATCGTGGGCAATTAGAATTCCCCCGGATACGGCATCGATCCTATCTTGGCCTTCTTTAAGAAGTCTAGGCCAAGTATGACGTTGAAATCATCAAGAGTCACCACCAACAAGTCTTGTACGCCTCGCCATTTATCCGAGCACCATAGGTACCTTATACGCGGTTCCCCGATCCGTTGTGCCTTAGCATTCATCTGTCTTTATTGTTGTGTGGTCGTTGCTCACCCACGGACCCAACCGCATCATCAACCTATCAGCAACAAAAGTGTTCGTACAACTAGAATCCAACATGGCTATGATCTCTCGATCATTCACTCGATTTTCACATACATCAATGTGTCCAGAGCACCCAACTTCCTTTGTCGTAAAGCATCCAACCGCACCAAGTCGGTGCTGACAAGGCTGAATTCGTCCACCAAATCCTCTTTCGTGATCGGACAATTCAACACACGTATTGGGTTAACGTGTGTGACTATTTCCTCTTGCTCACTGTCATTGACCGAATGGCATTCAACTTCTCTTTTTCGAACATTCTCGAGCATAATGAGATCCCTCACATATGAAACGACCTATATTTGACCTAGATTCTTTCATTGACGTATCAACTCGATTGTCTTTACCTTTATCATAGGCGAGCTTGAATCCACCCTTATTGAATTTCTTCCTCCGTGGAAATTCCCTCTTATCCTTTGCCTTGGATTTCGAGGGGCTGCTGCAATAGACCTATTTTTCGCCCCGGTCTTGAAATCTACCAACCCATCCGCGGCAGAGATTGCTAAAGACAAATCGGTCACCTTCGTCGCCTTAACTCTGTTTGTGCCCAAAGCTGCAAGCCCGATAGAAAGTTGAATAATTTATCCTCCTCGGACATGTTTTTGATATCCAAAATGAGAGAACCGAATTCCTTCACATATTCCCTCACCGATTTATCCCGCATTAACCTTTTCGGATCCTCCCTCGCAAGTCGGGAAGTGTTATTCGGTAGGAATTGTTCCTTTAACTCGTGCTTGAGACGCACCCAAGTATCAATCTTAGGTCGCTCGGCGTTTCGGTCTTTCTTGATTCGGTCCTCTACCATAGTTTTGCATCACTCGTCAAATACATTGCGGTGATGTTCACCTGTTTGTCGTCCCTAATCTTAGCCACTCCGAAGTACTTGTTCCATATCCCACAAAAAGTTTTCCAATTCCTTGGAACTCCTTGCGCCCCCAAATAGCTTGGGATCTAGTACCTTCGACTTGGACGTGCCCCTACCCGTAGGGATAGCCGTCATCGCCCTTTTTAGTACCGTAATCTCTTCCTCACAAGCTTGCACTTTGCGACCCATCTCTACCACAAGATCCATCGATCGCCGCGGCCACTTTCTACCACTTCCTCGGCGCGCTTAAGCCTTTCGTTCATGGAACCCTCTTCATTTTGGCCACGGGACCCAAGACTTCTTCAAGATGAGTGAGTCTTTCTCGTATAATCTCCATCCCATACGACATTAGATCTTAAAATCCCAGTCGATAGAACGAACTTTCACTTGTTACGAGTTCAAATTTTCATCATAATTTCCACCCAATGCGGCGACCTAGTTCCCCTAGACTTCGACCTTTTTCCTCTCAATTTGCTCTCGTGTTTGACCTATCGACTATGGTGTTTTACACACCCAATAGGCTTTCCCCAAAATCCTGCAAATAATAGGCAACACATTACAATAGACAAGAAATAATCAAAGTTTGCACACAATATTACGGAAAACTCCCAACCTTTTATTAACCCGTAACAAAGGAATACACTTTGATTTCGGTGTCTCTCTCTGTGCAAACCACACCCCTCTCCTTTTTATCACAAAGGATCATTGGAAGTTACATAGGAGCTGCTATCTAACTTATCCAAATGAATGCGGACAAATTGGCCGGAGGCAAGTAGCTGTCGATAATTGCCTGCGATAACCGCCCCTTCTAGAACTTCCTTTGGCTCGCCACCCCACGGACCCTTTAGGCACCCGACCGAGCCCTCTCTCTCGGCCTGCTGTGTTCCCACGCAACTTGGACAGCCCTCTATCCAAGTCCGAAGTCATGCCAAACATGAACCCGTCGTTCGCATGCACTCGTTATACATTGTTGCTTGAATCCGCAAGGCCCATGCAAGTTGCCAAGATCCCGACAATCCTATCCTTGGCGCAACCCTGCGCCTAGGAGCTGTGACACATCTATCATGCAAATCATAATTAATCTTACGAGATAAAACTCATTTATAATTATCACAATTACACTACAATTACTCAAATCACAAGATAATAAGTAAACGTTCCTTACAGTTTGTAAATGTTATGAATGAAATAATATTAATTCTTGTCGTTTAATTCCCAAGTAATGATACTTATTAAACCCTAATTATACTATATCATTCATAAATAGCAAAAATGTGGAGTAATTATTTAAATCGTTAATTAGCGAGAATAATTTTTTTATGGCTCGATTAAATACACTTAATAATTCATGAATTAAAAATCACTATTTTCAAATAATTCTAGAAAAGCCATTACCTCATATCATTTTTATTTCTAGATTCAATCGTCTACTGGACTAACTAGGTTTTTAAGACTCGAAACTTGGATGTCCTGACAAAGCGCCATGAACTCGATCCTTTAGCACCTCAGTCTCGGCTTAATCTTTGGGATTCCAAACTCAATTTTTAAACCCAACCCTGTATGCCCCAAACCTCGGGCTCTCCAAACCCGATTCTAGGGCTCGTGACTTGAACCCCGAATAGCCCAGACTCACTCTCAATCCAAACCTCAGATGCCCCTGAACCTAGTCTCGGCAATAAATCTCGAGCTCTTTGGATCTAATCCCGACTAAAACCCTGGATGTCTTAAACCCTGTCTCGAATCGAACCTTGAGTTCTCGGTAATCTGTCCTTAGGTTCCTTAGACCAGGTCCCGAGTGGGCATTAAAATTGTGAATTTTATGTAAAGTGCTTGAAATAGAATAGACTTTTATCATTTCAACCTTCCATGTCAGTAAGCAACAATTTGAAAAGTAAAAAAGAATTGAAATAGTTAGAACAGAGTAGGTACAGCCAATTAACAAACACCTGTGTGTGGCGTGCACAGCAAGTGGAGCTTGATTTACATGACACAAGCCAATGCATCATTCGCTACTTCATCAAGCCATCTCCATGTGACCAATAAAAATCCTGCTAAATTTGACCAAACTTTCAGAGCTCAAATCATGCTAGCCCATTCCAAAAGTGGGGCCAGGCGGCAATGCCAGTTAACGGTGCTAAATCACACTTTGAAATCGAAATCAGACAAATTCCTAAATGATGGGAGACAACTCTGGCAATGCCAATCACGAAGCAAGCCTTATTAGGCACGTGAACCAAACACCAGCTAAAAACTTGGACACGAAAACCACCTTTCCAGATTGTTGGGGTTCTGGGCCCTACATCTTCCCTTTTCCTTAACTTTATTTACAGTTTCCAATTAAGTTGTAAGAAATTTTACTTCTTAATTTACCATCAACCATCAGAATTTGTTTATTAACTCTAGTCTTGAACGCAGGCTACTAAAACCCTAGGGTTTTAGGCAGCCACCAGCCAGCACATGCAGGGACATAATTGTCATTCCGAAACATAAACCTCACCAAACGATACCAAAACACAACAAAACAAGCCCAAATGACTGTCGTTTTATAGAGTGAAATACCAAAAATAGAGGATTCTCATTCCTGTTTTGCAACATTTTTCTCTTACAATTTCCGTTTTCTTTTTCGCTCTGCTCTGCCCTTTGCCAACTCACTCAGTCACACAGTGTACCAAATAAGAATATACGAAAGCATGATTCTGCTTAGCTTCCTTCCTCGAACTCCGGTTTAAACCTTCTAGTTTAAATACTACGTTTTTCTTGCACCTCAAGTCGCCTCTTTAATTTTCTCTACCCTCTCTCTCCCACACACACAAAACACGTATTCTTTCACGAGGGCTAGTTTCTCCGTCTTTCTCTTACACCAAACAAGACATAAAACGCTTGAAATTTGTTGTTGTTGTTGCTGCTGCTAAGTTGGTTCTTGTTTAGTGTTTCATTATAAAGACAGTAAAATTTTCTTAAAAATAAAACCAGAAATCTTGGGTACAAGACAGAATTCAGAAAAATCCTGCTTTTTAACAAAGTAATGTGTTCTCTCTTCTTCTTTTTCTTCTTCTTCTTTTTTTAATGTTTAATGTTGTTGTTGCGCCACACGCTTTTTTAATGTTTCTATTTTTGTTCTTGGTCCTGTCTGTTTGAGTATGGTAACAGATCATGACATTTGGTATTGGTTATTTTGCTTGTGTTTGGCATGCGTTACTATTTTATGTTTAATTTTTTTCAGTTTGGTTTGGTGGGTTTTAGTTCTTGTGTCTACCTTTGTCTCCATTTTGCTCAAGATCTGTGCAAGTTCAAATTTTTTTTTCTTTTAAAGTTTTAAATTTCTTTAATGGACTAGAATGAGGTTTCTTTACGTGCAAAATCTTTTCTTGCAAGGGTTTGTATGATTTTTTGTGTGGTTGTTCTAATGGTTTCAGCATGTTTGTTAATATATTATGTGATCTTGCTTAATTTATTGTTTGTGATGAATAAAAAATTTTCACTTTTAAATGACTTCTGCTTAATAAATTAATATAGATTAGTTTTAAATTAACGAATACTCTGAGACTGATACCACTCTTCTGTGTCTCCATGTGTTTGTGTTAAATCACGCCCATTTTGGTTGCTTCTAGCGTTTTGTGTTGAGAAAAGTTACCATGTCAGGTACAAAGGTTGAGTTCCTTGAATGATTATGATTCAATCTTGGGATATTGAGGATTTATCAGTCTGAATCAGAAGTTAATTTCGGCTTTCTTTAGTTATGCAATGCACCCGCCGTGACTCATTTTTCCGGTGGGCACTGCATTTCCTGCCTTCTGGTTTAGGAGCTCGCAAAATGTAGGGAAATTGCATCTTGGTGGACATCAAATGGAACTTTAAAAGTTAGGAAGTCGTTTGAGTTGCCTTAATTAGGCTTAATTAGATAGTTCAAATATTTTTGGAAACTAGTTAGTAATGTGTGTTAATTTGGCGGCCAGAATTAGTTACCAAATAAGAATGTGCTTTTTTTAGTTATAGGTGTTGAATCAACAGCTTGTCGTAACTTTAGTTTGAGTTTAGAATTGCACTAGAGGATTTCTCTTTGTATATGCCATCAAATGATAAGGAAAGGTAAGTTTGGCTTTTGTTTTCTTGTCAACTAGTTATGGGAAGGATCTTTATCAAAGGTAGATGCCTTTTAGACCATAACTCCACTTGTTCTACCTGTTGTCTTTAGCCTTTAGCCTCCACAAAATATGGAGTGTTTGAATTGGCTTCCTCTATATAAGAATATATTGAATTCTTGTTTTAAAAGTATATATGCACTGTTTGCTTAGCTCATTTCTGTCAATTTTAGTGCAGGTTCAATAAGCGAAAGTTTTTATATCTGATCCTGAATTGAGGGGCTGAAAGGTATCAGGTCTTGTTTCTAGACTGATACTCTCTTGGCATGGCATTTGCAAGGATTGCTAGAACTGGCTTAAGAAGAACAGGAGGCACCTTTGGCAATTACTCAAGTGAAGGGGATGCGTTGTTATGTGAAGGAGTATCCATTCATAGAAGTCCCTTACCTTCCCTTCAAAATGCCAAATTTGGCAGAGATTTTTCAGGCATTTCCAGCATCAGGAAGATTAATCACATGAGTATGCAGAGCAGGGGAATCAGGGTAACTCCACGGTATCAATCTGCCACTGCAGAGAGGATAGTGGAGTCTGAATCGGAATGTGATGAACCAAGGTATCCAGGATTGGAAGCAACGAAGCCTGGCGAAAAGCCAAGGGTGGTTGTCCTTGGCACTGGATGGGCTGCTTGCCGATTCATGAAAGGACTTGACACCAAAATTTATGATGTTGTTTGCATATCTCCAAGGAATCACATGGTGTTCACCCCTTTGCTTGCTTCAACTTGTGTTGGAACACTTGAGTTTCGCTCTGTAGCTGAGCCTGTTAGTCGGATACAATCTGCGTTGGCAACAAGTCCCAACTCGTATTTTTATATGGCTTCCTGTTCTGGAGTAGACACTGACAAACATGAAGTGAGTCTTATATTATCCTTCTAATGCAAATTAAAACTGTATTGTAAATTGGATATGCAATTGTCAACGTAAGTTGCATTCTGTGTGGCAGTAATTAAAATCATTTGTTAATCCCCTGTGATTAGGTGTACTGTGAGACAGTTAGCAATGGTGGATTACCTTATGAGCCTTACCAGTTTAAAGTTGCATATGACAAACTTGTCATTGCTGCTGGAGCTGAGCCGCTGACTTTTGGTATCAAGGGGGTAAAGGAACATGCATTTTTTCTTAGAGAAGTGAATCACGCTCAAGAAATAAGGAAAAAGCTTCTCTTGAATCTTATGCTCTCTGAAAATCCAGGTGAGTTCCACTATTTAATTATGAAGTTTCTTCTCCAATACAACCTCTGAAGCCTTTTTTCAGAGTTCGTAAAGAACGAAGAAGAAGATATTATCAAAGTTGTTCCTTTTTGTACAATATTTTAAGTATTTGCTCTTTCTTTGATGCAAGAACAACTCCAGGAAACCATTTTCTTGTTTTCTGGTTCCTGACTTATAAAGAGAATCTAGATATATGTTCATGAAAATAGCTCAATTCCAGCCAAATTCCCAGGCAAAAAAATGCTCTGCTTTTATGTCTGAAGTTGGCCTAGTGTTCATCCAGGCAACTTCATACCGTTAATTCAGCATTTTTTTTAGAAAAACGAAAGACTTGTTCTAATTATATTGTTGCAGGCATATCCGAAGAAGAAAAGAAACGCCTGTTACATTGTGTTGTTATTGGAGGTGGTCCTACTGGGGTGGAGTTTAGTGGAGAATTGAGTGATTTTATCATGAGAGATGTTCAGGACCAGTATACTCACGTTAAGGATTATGTTAAAGTCACCCTCATAGAGGTAACATACATGAATTATTTCCTTGTTTACAAATACTTATGCATAAAGAAATTAAATTGCCAATGTTCTGGTTTTCTTTTTTCCCTTCTTGAACAGGCAAATGAGATTCTGTCATCCTTTGACGTTGGCCTACGGCAATACGCAACAAACCATTTGACCAAGGTATTGTAGTCTGTACTCGAATCTGTAATGTACTGAAACAACTTCTTTTATGAACTGCTTGTGACATTCTGGAGTTCTGTATCAGTCCGGTGTCAGTCTTATGCGAGGCGTAGTGAAAGAGGTGCACCCCAAGAATATAGTTCTTAATGATGGGACTAATGTTCCATATGGCCTCTTGGTCTGGTCTACTGGTGTGGGTCCCTCTCAGTTTGTGAAGTCACTAGACCTTCCCAAGTCCCCTGGTGGAAGGTATTGACAAGCATTAATTTTATTTGAAACCTCTCTACTTTCTAGCAATTTTGTTCTTTCGTTCCTATCTTTGGCAGGCCTTGTTAACGAATCTTATTGCCATAGGATTGGTATTGATGAATGGTTGCGAGTCCCGTCTGTAGAAGATGTGTTTGCACTTGGAGACTGTGCTGGTTTTCTTGAAAATTCAGGTAGACCAGTGCTTCCAGCTTTAGCTCAGGTCAGACCCTCTAACTAGTTTGCCTCTCTGATACCTCCATCTGTGTAGTTATTCAGAATTAAAAGCTGCTCCTAGAAGCTAATAAAATTCACAATTTCTTTTGCAGGTTGCGGAAAGGCAAGGGAAGTTTCTTATGGAGTTGTTTAACAAGATTGGAAAGCAGGATGGTGGAAAGGCTTTCAGTGCAAAAGATATCATCCCTCTTGGTGATCCTTTTGTCTACAAGCATCTTGGAAGCATGGCATCAGTAGGTCGTTACAAGGCTCTAGTTGATTTACGCGAGTCTAAGGTAACTCTGAGATCTTGCGAAACAATTTTTACTACCATGCTTCCAGAGTACTAGGCAATAAGCACAGTAGGCCCGGTAGATTTGGACAACTGCAATAAGCTTGACTATGCTTAGCAGTCCTCTTGTAGTTAATTTTGTTTTGTCATCAACTCATGAAACCTACGGTTTATCTGTGGCAGGATGCAAAAGGCGTATCTTTTGCTGGGTTTTTAAGCTGGTTGATTTGGCGCTCTGCTTACCTTACGCGTGTGGTCAGCTGGAGGAACCGGTTTTACGTGGCAGTGAACTGGGCAACCACCCTGGTTTTTGGCAGAGACAACTCCAGGATAGGTTAGGATAGGTTTACATGACTTGACTCAACATCTTCATTGCAGAGAAATAAGTATCGTGATTCATAAATTTGTCTGAGCTGGAGGCTCTAAATATAACATTCCTTGAAACCTTTCATTCTTCATTAGATTTTGGATATAGGATTCAATTCAAGCTTCATATTGCTAACTAATATGGAAAATACAGATTAAACAAAAGAAGTAGAAGCTATTTGACCTTTTGCTATATATTAATATTAATCAATCTGTGATGTTATTTATGATTTCCAACCCAATCGGCATGATTCAGGAACTGAAAATTATGCTGTAAACTTTGATCGTTTTAGACCTGAATTGGATGTGGGCTTCAGGATGCAATTCAAAACCAGATCAATGATCTAGTAGTAGTATTATTCTTTATTCTTCTTCTATCTAACTCAGGCCTCAAATTTGGCCCCATTTAAACAACGTTGTGGATTGGTGAAGGGACATAAAAAGGAGGGAATCATTGTACATAATTCTAGTATTGTTTTTGAATTAAGATCTGATCCCACTTCAATTTAGCTCTTAACTCAAGGTACTAATCCAATTAGATGAATCCAACCTTCACCAATTGGCAGAAACAGTCAAAATTGTCACCACCCTTAAAGCAACTGGAAGTGAAGCACTGAGACTAGGCAATGAATGATAGGCAACAATCTAAAGCATTTGAAAGAAGCAAAATTAACAAGAAGAGATGAAAAAGGTTCTCTTTCATGTGCAAATTAGTACAAATTTTGGCTAAACAAAAAAGAGCTATAAAGTACAAACTTTCCTATTACATCCCCACCAAAACATCATCAATAACACCAGTTTTGTGCTATTGAGCTAAGAAATATTCGAAGCAGCTCGCTGACCAGTACTTTGAGAAAAGAAAGAAGCAAAAGTGTGAGCCAAACCCACAACTATAGCCACCTTAAGCTGTCCTCTCTTTGGGATCGGACGGCTAACAAACCCCCTGGAAACTTTCCCACCGTTAAGTCTTTTTGCACCTACCATCTCTCTTTCTTCTTTGTTTCTTTGAGAAAGATCAAAGGGGTCACTCACTGCCTTTTCTTGCAAGAGAGTTAGAAACCAAGTCAGAGCCAAGAGTGTCAGTTTGGTGTGATTGAAGTTTACCTCTTCTGGGTTTATATTAAGGCTTCTGTTGATTAATGCCCTTGGTTCTTGCAAGAAATTACAAGGCGGGGACGTTGTTTTTGACTCTTTAGTTGACGATCTTGACCCTGTGACAATGCCAGTTGTACCATTTTGTTCTTTTTCTTAGTTTTCTCAGGGTTTGACCAGTTAAAGATGGTTAGGCTTGGTGTGCTTGTCAATCTTTGCTCATAGTCTTTTCTTGTTTGAATCCATGTACTTGACCTTCTCAAACAATTCATATTTAACAATTATTGTTGGTTCTCGTTCTGTTTTAGGTTTGACCGGTAAGGCATGAGGTTGCCATAATATTTATGTCTTAAACACCTATAAAATAATAATGTCTGTTTAAATTGTTGAATTTAAATATAATGTTTTAACTCGTTTGAATATAATAACAAATGCAATATTCTATATTGATATCTAAAGATAAACATTCTAAATTTATTTTGTTTCTTCTGTTAAAAAAAAGAAATTAATAGTTTAATTCACTTAAATTGTCATTTAACCAACAGATTAGATTTTTTGCTTGAATTTTTCTTCAAACAATTATAATAGTAATACCTCTTTTATTCGATGAAAATACGATAGAATAATTATGGTTTGAACCTTGATTTTAGCATCAAGAATAAAAAATAATTAAAACAATAAGTTGTTGATTTGGTTATAAATGAGTTGGTTTGTAGATAATTTTTTTGACAATATACAGGTTTCGAATTCTGAAATACGGGTTAAATTTTATCATTTTCGTCATCAACAAAATTAGTTTTATTTTTAATATAAAATAAAATACCTAAGCAAAATAAATAAATAAAATAAATAATGATCTTTAAAGAACAAAATTGATAGAATCCAATGAAAATTAAATTTTTAAGTCATACTATCTCATCTTGATATATTCAATCCCCTAATTTGGTGGTTCATATATTAATTTAATCTGGTTAGGTTCGAGTTTAGTCAATAAACTTCTAAAAATCCCCCTCCCCCGCCCAAAAAAAAAGAAAAAGGGAGTTTTCAAATCTAGCAATCGAATGCTACACCTATAAAAGTAGAAACAGACACTGCTTTCAAGTCATTTCCCATTTGTTTCCTAAATTTAACAAAGAAAATCAAGGTTGTTGGATTTCATCGAATGGGAACGCCAGTAACAAGGGCAAGTTTGTCATCACGTTGCGAGACCAAGGAGGTGACAGGCAGATGCTGTTTTTCGTAAAATAATGCTAAAGCATGGATTAAGAATGTTAAGATAAACCTCTGGTCGAACAAAAATCACGTGCCCATTTACTCCCATTAACAAATTCAAATGTCATCATTATCGTGTCCCACGGTGGTTCTTGTCGCTTTGCCTTTTTTCTCTTTCTCCAATCGAGTTCCACGTCATGAACTCATACGCTTCAGTGATACACAATTTTCTATTCATTTAAGTAGTTCAAATTTATCCATGCAATTCTTTCTTTAACGCCTTTAGTACTACTGACAAAAAAAAATTGAAAGAAAGTTTGTTTCACACGAATTAAATTTAAATAAAAAATATTAAAGTATACTTATGTGATGAAAATATCGTATATTAAATAATATTTTTTAATTACTTCAAAAAAATTTAGTCTTGAATTACATAAAAATTAATCTGAAAAACATTCTTATGATTAAGGAAATACAGCATCACGTGCGTATAATTGATGCGCTAATTGCAATAATGGAGGGTCACATCATTATTTAGAAGTGTGAAATTAACTTTGGGGTTTAGTGGAAGCTGATCACCATCAATCTATCTTCTTCTTCTTTTCTCATGAGAGTGGGTTTGAAAGAAATATTTCATCTTTAATGAATTCAAGACTTTCAAAACTATAAATTAAAAGAAAAGAGCAGGTGCATGGCCTACATGTCTATAAAAAAAACTAAATTAATTAAAGCAACATAGTACGGTACTCCAGTAGATTGTAACCTAAAATTAGATTAGTTTAAAACAATTCATCGAATCTAGATCTTCTAAGCGGAAAAGGCCTTTGATTCAATGTACTTGAATTGAATTCCCATAATTGATTGACAAATTAGTTTAATTGTGTCAGATTTTGTTTGGGCAAGGAATAGATTCGATTCTATTCATGCTGGACTTGAAAATGAAAATTGAATTCAAGCAGCCGGTACTTTTTATGGATTTTATTAGTTTATTGTTGAGATATAAGTAGTTGTTGGAAACTAGGGGATGCATTTTTAGTAAGAGTGAACAAATAGATAAACGATTCGGTTTTATATAAATTTAATTTATTTTTTGATTAATCAAATTAAAAAAAATCAAAATCGAATCAAAATACGTACATAAAGTTTAGTTTGAAATCGAATTATTTCGATTCGATTTCCTCAAATTTCGATTTTAATTGAAATAAAATTTTCTTTTCCATGTATTGGGAATACATTAGAAATGAAATTAAGAATTGGGCATATATTATAAACAATTTTACATAAATTTAATCATTTTTTTGTTACTTTCAATATATTTGATTTTTTTTTAACCAAAATTTTTTTCAAAAACCGAACTAAACCTACATAAAATATTTCAATTCAATTTTTAATTTTATAAATTTAAATTCAAAATCAAATCAAAATACATAATTCGATTCGATTCAATTTTTTAATTAACTAAGCCGTTTGCTCGCTTTTAATCTTCAGAATATATATAGTTTTTTTTTATTGATATTTGTGTTAACAAATATCTTTGCTTGCTTGGATGACAAAACCGAAGAAAATCAAAGACAACTCTTGATTGTGTGATTGCTTACATCATGATTTGCCCAATTAATAATTAGAATAAATCAACATCATGGTGGAGTAATCCTCCAAGGTATATGATCTGCTTGCTTTGAATTTAATATATTCAGTACACATTTCAAGTATGAAAAACATTTACGTAATCTTCTTGCAGTCTTGAAATTTCATTTTTAGCATTTCGTCACAAGATGTTGCTGCAGACCAAATTGGCGAAGTCAGATGATGCATTTTAAGGCATTTTCTATGATGTTTTTGAAAATTCTACAAGCACTGGTTTTCTAATTTTTCAAAGTTCTTAGAAATAATTTTTATTTTTTGAGAAGGATATGTTATGTTTAAAAATAATTTAACTCGGTATCCAAGAGAATTGATTTGAGTGAAAAGAGCTATAGTTGCTTAAATAAGTAGTTTCGAATTCAAGTGTTTATATATGTAGAAATTTTTTTAGATAATTGTGTTTGTTTTGTATATCCGACGTAATAACGAAGTATTAATTTGAACTCTTAAATTTAAAATACCTTGAGGATAAAAAAAATTTAATCAAAAGAAATTATAATAAAAAAAATCCTTATGAATTGTCAATTCTTTAACGACCCTAATTTGTTTTCTTAATTTGATCTTAAATCACTTAAAAACTCTTTTTTTCCCTTTTAATATACATAAGTAGGAATTATTTTTGAAAAAAAAGGGTTTATTCCATAATTGATCTCTGTGAAATTTTAATTTTTTTGATTGAGACCCTTTATTATTTCCTAGCTTGATTGAAACCTCATACTCTTACAAATTTATTGATTGAGACCCTTCGTTAACTATTCATTATACGTGGCAAGTTAAAACTAATGATAGTCAATCGGACAACGACATGTGATAAATTTTTTTTATCCGGATTTTCATATGTCGGTTCTTGATTGGCATGTAGGATGAATAATTAACAACGTTACAATGGAGGGTTTCAATTAATAATTTTATAAGAGTAGCAAGTTTCAAGCAAGCCGAAAAATAATAGAAGCTGCGAATCAAAAAATTGAAACTATACACATATCAATTATGGGGTAAACCTAAAACATAATCTACCAATTATAGCTTTAACTAGCATATATCTCTCGCGTTGCCGCGGGATGAGCTATACAATATTTTTTTGTGTTCATTCATATAAAATACAAAATTTAAAAATAATTATGTAAAAGGACCACGCGGCAAAAAATTCAAAGCGAGTTATACAACATTCTTATGTACCCTTTCATATAAAATATAAAATTTGAAAATAATTATTTAAAAAGATCACGCAAAAAAAATTAAAAAAAAGAACCAAAACATATATCTTATATTTTGTCATAAGGTTAGCTAAAAGAAAAGTATGCGAGCAAAGTTGAGTAATATAATGTTGCTAATTAGATATCGTTTGATATAAACATGTATTTTATTAGAAATATATATAATAACCGATAATTAAAATAATAATGTGGTAGTTTTTTGAATTTTAGATGATTAATTTTTACCATATATTCTTCATTTGTAATTTCTTAATGAGATAGAGAGATCACTCAAAACAAAAAGATAAAAAACTTTGTCAAATCAAGATTTTTTAAAAAAAAACGAGAGATAAAATCACACATGATCAAAATTAAATGATCAAAACAAACTAAAGATCATGAAAGAATGATTAAAAAAAACTTTCACTAACAAGCATGATAAAATTTTAATATTTATTATAGGGATAAAAAATCAAATATAATAAAATTTAAATGACTAAAATAACAAAAGGTTACAAAACAGGAACTAAAATAAAAATAAAATTCATTAAAAGCCAAAGGGGGCTTAAAAAATACAAGAAGAGAAAAAAATGATTTACTATAGGAATAAAAATTAAATATAATAAAATTTTAATTATCAAAATAAAAAATTTACAAAAAAGGGATTAAAATAAAATAAAATTTTAATATTTATTATATGGACAAAAATGAAATATAATAAAATTTTAATAACCGTAATAAAAAATATTATAAAACAGGAATTAAATTAAAAATAAAATTCACTAAAACCCAAGAGAAGAATTTAAAAATTTTAGTAAGAGGAAAAAAGAAAAGCTGATTTATTATAGAACTAAAAATCACATATAATAAAATTTTAATGATTAAAATAAAAAAGTTACAAAATGAATACTAAAATGTAAAATTAATTTAAAGCTAAAAGAGTGGCTTAAAGTAGCAAGAGAAAGAAAGGGAAAAAAAAAAAAAAATCGGGCTACAGGCAAGGCAAGTAAAGGGGGGAAAAAAAAACCGGTGCTATAGGCAAGTCAAGGCAAAGCAAAAAAAAAAAAAAGAAGTAAACAATGAATGAAAAGTAAAAACGCTACCGTACTTTAGCGTTTCGTTTTAGTTTTTTTTTTATAATTACAAAAAGCAAATGACATGGCTACCAAATCATCCACGAAGCCAACAAAATAAAATAAATATAAACAGACCATCAAAGTTATCTTCCTAGATTTTCATTATTAGAGAAAGAAGATGACTTGACTTTTGCCACTAAACCTCATAAAGGTATGGTTTATAATGGGTATGGAGATACGTAATGTGTCGATCTTATTTTTATTTGAATTTGTATACAAAATACTAGCTATCAAACAGGGGAAATGACAGATAGCTGCTACGAAATGAATCAAATTCAAAGGACATCCTAGCTCTGCACCAGAAAAAAACAAATTAAATGCCCTCACTGATAGGCCGCAAGCCCTTCTCATACTATTCATTAGCAAAAAATTCTGTCCTCGCAGCCTATAAAGATTATTGAAAGTACAAACCTTTCCATTAAAAAAATTAGGTTCGCTAATTCATTACGGTATTAATTTTTTAAGTTAACAATACCGTCTTGACTTGTTTGTGTAAAGAAAACGCATCCATCCTCATCGGTTGAACCATTGATCTGGCAAAAATTAATATACACCTCAACCACAAATTTTATTGCGAAAGGGACTAATTTTTGAGCGAGTGGCTGCAAAATCTTGCCCACCACAAAATAACATCAAAGACTAAAGAATCAAAGTAAATCAAGAAGTTCATCCGACAATGAAAGAAAAGGAAGAAGACAACTTCGAAAGAAAAGGAAATTGATCCATTAGATGATCAAACTCTATGTACAAAGGAAGATGCACTGATAACCTCATAGAATACATGAACAAAAACAACAAAAATGTTCATTTCTAATCAGTCACTAAAGTGAAGCCAAAATTTTGAGCCCTCCATCGGTCTACTAGTGAGCTAACTGGGCAGCAGCGCATTTCTTGCGAGGAGAAAACATAGAAGCAAAAGTATGGGCCAAACCCAGCACTATCGCCACCTTAACTTGACCTCTCTTGGGGATCATACGCCCATAAAACCTCTGCGAGTAACTTCCACCATTGATCATCACACTCCTGCCATTAGCTGCCATCTCTGTATTTCTCTTCTTCCTTCTTCTCTTGGGAGATTGAAAATGTAAGAGAACAAGCAAGAAAAGTAGTCGAGACTTGAGACTTGAGAGTAGAAGATGTGTTGGTTTGGTTTGGTACTTTTACAAGTTGGTTTATATAGAGATTGGCCCAAAGAGAATGCCGTTTATTTTCTGCTATCACTAAAAGATTGCCCATTATTTTGTTCGCAATTTTGACCATGCCTTAGATCCCAATTATGCAAAATTTTGTAAGATTTGGCAAGGATAGTTGTGGAAATTTATGGCTGAAGTAGACAAGAAGATGCTACTTTTCTTAGAATAATGTTGATAAAGTAAGGGGCCCGTATGATTTTAGTGCAAGATGATATTATTTTTATGACGTATTGCATATGGTTCACGTGGGTATTTCATTTGCATTGGTTTGAGAAGCCATCATCGGTGGCCATGTCTGATTGACTGATTGTTCCTTGTCTTTATCTTAAACCGGTTTCAGTTTCTGAACCGGTCCCCTCCAATTCAAGTTGAAGTGGCGCCTAATTTTAAAAGGATTAGAGCAGTCTTCCCCTTTTTTTCCTTATCGAATCTGTGCACTTTTTCCTTTTTTTTTTTTTTTATAATTAAATTCAATTTTTTATCTTAATTTTGTCTATCTGTCAACTTTTCACTAGAGATGTTAATTTTTTTTTTTTTTTATATCTTAATCTCATCTTTGTAATATCTAAAACGAGTCTATTATAATTTATTTATTTTAATTTTTAAATCTCTTAATTTGAGTCAAAAGTAGAAGAATAAAATTTTCTTGACATTAAAAAGATACTGTAAATATTTTATTTTATATTTAAAATTTACTCACTATCATGCATATTAATTTAAGCTCATAAAAGATATTTTAGATAAAAAAATATTTTTAGTTTTACTTATTTTTTTTTATAGTTTTAGTTTTAAGAGAGAAAGTCTAGATATATCTTCAATTTTTTTTTAATTTTAATTTTTCAAAATTTATTTATTTAAATTCGATAAAAAAAACAAGATTAAGATGAAAAATAGAGTAGAGATGTGAGATTAAAATAGAAAAAAAAAAACCAAAATAACATTGTTATTCCAAAAGTTAATAAAATGATGAGATTAAGACAAAAAAGCAAACCTAAAAAAATGAACTTAAAGATGAAAAAAAACAGAAAGATACGATAATATAAAAGAAAAAATAAAAAGACTTCTGCAACCCTTAACCCAATTTTAAAATAAGCTAACTACAATTATGCCCTCAACCTATTGTATAAGTTTTGTTGAGGCCCTCTCTAACCCGTTGCTCTTACAAATTACATCAATGTTGCCGTGATTTGTACGTAAATTCCCTCCATATGTGGAATATTACATATGTTATTTAGGAAACTCATGTGTTAATTTTTTTTTTTAATACTTGTCTGATTTCAATTACCTTTTGTATTTTCAACATAAAGTTCTTTATCTTACAACTTTATTAAATTGTGTTGCTATTAAAAAATTTACATTTTTAACAATGTTCAAATTAAAAATTAATATTTTTGAACACATTATCCAAATCAAAATTTAAAGATTTGAGCTCAGAAAAAAAAAGGGGGAGAATTAAATCATGTAAGTTTTTTGTATAACTTAATTGGGAAATTAACGTCCAACTAATGGAGGGAAGAAGTTGGAACAATTTTGATAAGTGGAGGGTAGTTTTGCTGCAATCAATAGGAAAGGGACCAAATCAAAAGCTCTCCAATAAATGAGGAGTATATTTCTAGTTTGCCCTTAAAAAAATGGGGAGAACTGGCTGACGATACATTTGCTGACACAAATAATGAGCTCAGAAAAAGTTGAGAAATACACTGAATCAAGAACTTTTCTTTCTAATTAAGAAAAGAGATTCCACTTTATTTATATTTCCACTAAAGCATTATATGCATCCAATAAGAGAAGTAAGAAGTCCCAATCATTTGCATTTAAAATCATCATATCTCCCACCAGCTGAAAATGATGATCGTGATTTGAAAAGTTTGTAATTAGATGCCCATATTCAAGCACTTGAAAACCATTAATTCTCCAAGGGATAAGAGAATGGCTTCATTTGTTTTTAGCATGTGAAAGAATTAGGCACTAACGTAAGCCACCAAATAAAGGTTTTTAGCTATGCATTTTGAATACCTTTTGTAGTAGATAAGCTGTGTGTACGTATAACTGTGTTTTCAGCAATTCACAACTTCCCCTTTTATTTTTTTGGAGAATTAATCATGGCTCTCTTGAACAAGCTTTGTTTAGATAAGCTAGGGATATGCAATCCTTCTCAACCTACCACTAAAGTTGAGATCTCATGATCAAGATGTCTAGTTATTTATTCGTCCCCAATCTACCAAGAGATTTCATTTGGTTATTCAATTAATCAACTTTATCACTTAGAAGAAGAAGAAGAAGAAGAAGAAATAATTAGGTAGATTTGGTTCATTAATTTAAATTAATGATTGATATACTAAGATAATACGTGTACAACTTTAAAACTCCACACCCTCCACATGAGTCAATACGTGCCCAATGGAAGTGTGTTTCACCCCTAAAATGGCTATCTAGGTTAGCATCATGCAGATATTATTCCTAAAGGATAATGCTCTAGCAAAAATATCAGCCACGTCATCGATAGAGGGAGCGTTATTTAAGAGGACTTGTCCAGCCATGATCTAGATAATCAAGCCTACATTCTACCTACTAAAATGACAAATAGTGGGTTTATTAAATAAAAATATATACGCTTCCAACATCATTTTTATCGATTAATAACGATCATAATCTAATTATATTTGTTCAAGAGTAATCCATCAACATACTTATTCTCCAATTAACATGAGAGATTGTTGACAATAAAAGAATTGATAGTTCTATCATTCTCTTTATGCAACTTAATGAGTTTTATAATTATATAAACAACCATAAAACCTAGGGTTAAGGGTATAAAATCTCTTCTCTTCTTACTATTGTTTATATTCTTCTTAATATATTCATCACACTTTTTTCAAACAAACACACACACACACACACACACACTCTTTGTCTCTCCTATTTTATTCAATCGATAATAACCATGATCCAATTATATTTGTTCAAGTGTAATCCGTCAACATATTCTCCAATTGGCATGAGAGGTTGTTGATAATAAAAGAATGGACAGTTCTATCATTCTCTTCATGCAACTTGATGAGTTTTATAACTATATAACCAATCATAAAACCTAGAGTTAAGGATATAAAATCTTTTCTCTTTTTACTACTATTTATATTCTTCTTAATATAGTCATCATAACTTTTTCAAACAAACACACACACACTCTCTCTCTCTCCTATGTCAACTTATTTGTGAGAGGATCTTCCATCCAACTAGAAGAATTTGTTTTGTAAGTATTCTAGTTATCATAACCATTTCTCAATCAACAAGCAACACTTTCAAACTAGCTACAAAAGAGCCAAATCATTCTATAAGATTTCACAACTTCATCAAGAACCAATGATTAGTTGAGTTTGGGATTGACAATTATATATGTATAAAAAAATGTCATCCTTCTTGAAGATTAAAAGCTATTGTAACCTTCTTTCTTAAAAAACCACTTTTTTAAAGAACTTAAAAACTTTTAAAATAAAATTTTAATTCATGACATTCTTATAAATACAGAAACTCACTATCTCACTCAGTTATAAACCTATACATAAAAACGACCATCCAACAATAGGTCACAAGCCATGTTATTCATGTCATCCTATCAAGTATATGTTTAAATAAACAAACAATAACTATGTATAGATGAGGAAATTTTTAATTAAGAGGAGAGAGAAAATTAACTCTCTCTTTTTTATGAGAAAAAAGAGAACTTTGTTTCTATTAATAAATTTTATAAAATGTTTGACGAGAGTCTTTTTTATTTTTAAAAAATTAGTAATTGAATCTAGTTCATAATTTTATCATTTTAAATTACAAATCAGGCTAATTATATTATAACATTTAAAACCTATCTCTTTCAAATCTTTGGTGTGCACCCCCCCCCCCCCCCCCCCCCAAAAAAAAAAAAAAAAAAAAAGACATAAGAAAGAAAAGAAAAACGGACTTGCACAAACGTTCAATAACCCTTCAAATTCCATTATCAAGAGCCGTTTTGAGGCCCATGAAATTGGCAAGGTTGGGCTAGTTTATTTGGGCTAAAATAACACCGAATTTATGAGTTTGTATCCAGAGCCTTATGAGGCCTTTTCGCTTAAAAGCCGATGAGTTGGATAAAGACAGTATATAACATGGATTGGAGTATTCTCATATCTTGATCTCTTAATAAATAAATAATAGCAAGTCCAACATGACTCCTCCATTGATCATTTCATCGCTTTATCAGAAATCATCATGAAACTTGATTGAACCGCATATCTATACAAGGAGACTGAATTGAACAAGAGAAGAGTGGGGAGACAAAAATTAAATAACGAGACAGGTTCCCTCATTATATCTCATATAAACAAGTGCTCAAGGAAGTCCTTTTGTGAGTTTATTCTATCGAATCTTGTACCGAAAGAGATGGAATAATATGATAATACGTCAGGACATGCTCATGGATGCATCAGCGAAGCAGCAGAATATGTTTTGATTCAGCCCAGAACAAGCGACAAATGTATTATGTCAGGCAAACGAAAGGCTGAGCTGATCAGGCATAGCCCAATTATTATAGAAGTGTTTAGCAACTAATTCACACGGTTCCTTTTGTCAAGATTTCTTGATATTGAAAAGAGGATTAGGACAGAACAGTGCTGGTCTTGTAATGAATCTTGTTTAAGACTCTGTAATGGGGCAGGGCCTGATAGATCCAAACATAGAAGCAGCAGTAGTAGAAGCAGTATGTGGCCAACACTTTCTACTATTGGAATGACACAAATTTCCAAGCCACCCCATTTTTGAATTGCGGCATCTATTGCCTCCCTTCATTTTCAATTAAAGCAGATCGTGGAAGAAATCACCATAGACAAGTGGGGTGTCAAGCCATGACATTAGGGTTTATCCACATATTATGACAGTTGATATTAAAATAGCATATCATGTCAAAAGTTTTAGATTGACTGATTATGATGTGAATGTGTGATTTTAACAGAAAGATACATTTTAACTGTAGAGAGCAAATCACGATCATATATGTGAATCCAAGAACTTGAATCATTTGGTGCATCAACCCACTTTCAAGAGTTTTTGTATGATCCTAGCTATGCATGCATGACGTACGTTTGTGTATATGGATACTGTATTAATGAGCTCAGTCTGACGTGGTGATGAACTCATGAAGTATAACGTACGTATTCACGATCTTGTGTTATATATGTTGTACAGACAGACCAAGATTATTGACTCTTTTGTCTTTATCTAAGAGAATGTTACGCATATATTTAATGTTTTGAGGCAATACAAACACATTATATAATAATTGCTCAAGTGTATCAAATATATTCCACTCTTTTAGAACAACCAACAAACATTTTTTTTTCATAAATATTAGTCATAGTTATTTTTTAAAAAAATAATGATTTAATCGATGTAAAAATGGATCCAAAAATATCTCACCATTTATAAATATATATTAAAAAAAACAAAGATTTTTTTGCTTAAAAGAACTTCACATCTATATTTAATGTTTTGATGCCATACAATTTATTAACAATTGCTCAAGCGTTTCAAATATATTCCAATCTTTTAAAACAATTAATAAAGATTTTTTTCTTTCTATTATTCATGTATAATTAGCCATAATTATCCGATCCGAGCCTCTTATATATATATATATATATATATATATAAACATTAAAAAGCAGTGATCTTTACTTTGCACTGATTTGAACGTTTAAGGAAATTGCCAGTTTTTTTTTTTTTTCTCTCTCCTATGGAAGCCTTCTAGGCCACTTCATGGAGTTGTACGTTATGGAGGGTCATCAGTGCTCGAAGGCGAATTCAACTGTTCTGTAAATACCTTTTATTTATTGTTTTTTTTTTTTTTGATCAACTTATTTTAAATGAACACAACTACATAATCCTTCTCATCGCATTGTGCTTTAAAAGGTTATCGAACGAAGATAATCATGAAATATTTGAACATTATCTTCCATGATAAACCACACTAATTGAAAAAAATAATAATCCAGTAACATTTATGTTATGTTTTTCTAAAATCAAACCAATAGATCCTACTCTTTGATTTCTAAAATCCAATGAGTAGATCATACTCATTTGAATATTGATTCGAATTTTTTATACATATAAATATAAAACAAAAAACCAAACGAAACCAACAGATCCTAATTTTTGTTTTTTTTTTAGAAACAGACCCATCCTGGTTTTGCTTCTACTCTTCCTCTATTTATTTATTTTTGTTGCCCAAACGTGGTTAAAAAAAAAAAAAAAAAACATGGTGTCCATGGACTAGGAATACTATAATCTAGGAGGAGTTCGTGAGGAATTTTAATTCTCATCTTAGTGGTTTGCACTTTGGCATCATAGAGTATAATTTTTGTTTGATGATTTTTTTAATGAAATAAATTTGAGAAAAATTATCAATTTTTATTGTATAGCCAACATCACAGTATAAAAAGTAATTTATAAACTAACCGCTCTAGTTGCCAGAAATGAATTAATTAATCTTCTTATTTTAAAACAAATTATTTAATTTTATGTTTTAAAAATAAAAAATAGATATTATGAAAAAATTATGAAAAAACTATTTTTTTAAAATAAAATAATATTAAATTAAATATAATTATATTAGTTAAAAAATTAAAAAATTAATTTTTAAAATAAAAATGATTAATTGATTTGTTTCTCAAAACTAAAAGTACTAATTTATAATTTAGTGGAACAAAATTACTCAATAAAGTTCGACCCTAATCATCTACAATGATGAGACGACAGTGGGGAACTGGCATGGGAAGCTAACTGCACTGGTCAATTTCTTCTTCTTGTCCCCTTGCGACCTTGTCTCCTCTCCTCCTCGCTCTCCCTTTTTATACCAAATCGCACACACCAATATTTATCCCAGTCATATTCCACAAACCCACAAGAGACAGTGAGAGAGAGAGAGAGAAATAGAGGTATCAAAGTCATCATACCCATTCGAACTGATATGCCTTTAAATTGCACAAGCTTGGCTACCAAATTCCCACATATCTTGGGGGGAATAAAAACAACGGCAACAGCAGCAACAACCCATGTAGGAGTAGGAGTAGGAGGAGGTTTCTTTAACTTATTTGATAAAACCCATCATAACAATTCTCTCTGCATCGCTTCTCTTCCTTTAAACCAGAGATACAGCAGCCAAAGATACTGTCTTTCCTCTCCTTATGTAATGGAGGATACGAAAGACATGGGCTTTTCTACTCAAGAACCTGAACAGTATTCAAAAGAATTGGATATTGCTGTCAGGGCTGTGCAGATGGCTTGTTCCCTTTGTCAGAGAGTGCAGGAAAGTTTGATTTCAAAAACTAGTAGTCAGGTACAAGCCAAGGATGACAATTCTCCTGTTACTGTTGCAGGTATGCATTAATTTAATCTGACTATTTGTCATTGTTTTGTGTTTGTTTCTGTGTTTTCCGAAATCGGTTTTTGTTGATTTTTGTTGGTGTTGAATTCAGTATTGGTGGGTAAATTTTGTGATTTTTTAAAGTGATGGGTTCAGAATTCTGAATTTGGGTTTAGAATGGGAATTTACTGTTGTTCATTCATAATGTGTGATTAGTTCATGATTAATCTGTTTCTAGAACTTCTACAATTATGATATGAAATGGACATCTGTGGCTCATGATGAAAGTGGCATGAGCATATGTCCTTGTTTTGTTATTATTTTTGGGTGGGGAGGGGAACCTTAGAATGTCACTAAGTGTGGTGGGGGAAGCAATGGTGTTTAAATAGCTCAAGTCGCTACTAAAATGATTGACTTCAACGTGGACTTGTTTGCTGCCTCCTACATAGAACTTGGAAGTGTGGGCTGTCACTGAATTTACCAATCAGTTGATCAGGTCTCAGTTTTTCTTGTTTTATGCACCCCCAAAAAGTTAATCTTTTTCCAATTAGCTGCATCTTCTGTTCATAAGATTGCTTTCAAACTCCCTTATCGCCATTCATTAAGAATTTCTATCTTCATTCTACAATTGGGACGAACAGTGATAGCATATATATCCTTGTTCCCAAAGTGCAGATAATCATGCTCAGTCCATCAATAAATAACGCTAGAGATAATATCATAAAGTGATAAATGTTTACTTCACGTAGCATTTTACTGTTCTCCCTGCTAAACAGGCAGTCTATCTCCCTTGGTGAAAAAGCAGCGGGAGGCATGATTTTGCTTTGCAAACTATTCAAAGAGGCAACGTTGAGACCCCTGGCTTGTTGTTTATTTTAGAATATCTATGTTTCCTCTGCAAAAGGCTAATAACTACTTGTTGCCTTGTTTGAAAGGAAAGTTACTGCTGAACTAGACTCGTATTAAAGTACCATATTTCTTCAGAGTCTTTCTTTCCACCTAAGAAATTAGGCAGCTTCATCCCCGGGTTGTAGGCAGAAAATTTCTGTACTGAGTTGTAATTATCTACAGTGAAGTATCTATACATGTAACTATGCACTTTTGCTGTGGTCCCTTAATCACCCTTGTTTGAAAGGAAAACACTTTTCTTTATTCTGATATAGCTGATACCGAACTGCAGTTTGATCTAATTGTCTATTTCTCGTGGTTATGTCATGCAAATAGATTGGAGCGTCCAAGCTACTGTCAGCTGGATACTGTCTGAGACCTTAGGGAGTAGGAATGTGGCAATTGTTGCTGAGGAAGATGTTCAAACTCTCTCCAAAGCTGATTCAGCTGGCCTACTAGAAGCTGTAGTTCGGACTGTGAATGATTGTCTAGCGGAAGCACCTCGTTTTGGTCTTAAAGCTCCAGGAACAACCCTCGGCGGTTCAGAGGTTCTTCAAGCCATCAGTCGTTGCAACTCAACTGGGGGTCCTAATGGAAGATTTTGGGCACTCGACCCTGTTGATGGTACGTTGGGATTTGTTCGTGGCGATCAATATGCTGTTGCTTTAGCTTTAATCGAGGATGGCGAAGTTGTTCTTGGAGTTCTTGGTTGCCCTAACTACCCAATGAGAAAAGAATGGCTAGGCTATCACCATCGCTACCATAGAATTATTTCTAAGTTGACCCCACCTACATCAGAATCTTGGGACAAAGGCTGTGTGATTTATGCAAGAAGGGGAAGTGGTGAAGCCTGGATGCAACCTCTAATACAAGGACAAAAGAAGCTAGTGTGGCCAAACTCTGCAACACCAGTCAAAGTATCAGCCGTTGAAAATCCAGCACTGGCAACCTTCTGCGAACCAGTTGAGAAGGCAAATTCAAGCCACTCCTTCACAGCAGGGCTAGCTCACAGCGTTGGGCTTAGGTGCATATGCTTCTCATTCCTCCTATCAAAATTTTTCTTTTGACCATCCATGAAAATGATAGCAAACTTCAGCCTTGACTGTTAAATTTCTTCAATTCTTCTATGAATATTTAAATCTAATCTACACTTGCTTCTTGCCAAACCAAAATAAAGAAGCGAAGGCCTTTCAGGACACCATAATTTGTCATAACATGAATGAATCTAGGTTAAATTTTAAAAACTTATTTTGTGTGGAAGGAAGGGGAAACAGAATATGATGGCAATACTTGTAGCTTAATTCATTGATGAAAGGGGAAAAGATGTGTTCAGTTGGACATTAGCAATGAGCATTCTTAATTGCTTGCTGGAAAAAAAAAAGGAAAAAAAAAAAAAAGAAATGAACATTTTATTAGATAAAGAGCTTTATTCATGCATCACTTTTTTACTGCAGGAAGCAACCATTGCGAGTTTACAGTATGGTGAAATATGCTGCGATTGCTCGTGGAGATGCTGAGATTTTCATGAAGTTTGCCAGGGCTGGCTACAAGGAGAGGATATGGGATCATGCAGCTGGTGTTGTTATCATTCAAGAGGCTGGTGGTGTGGTGACTGATGCTGGAGGACGCCCACTGAACTTCTCAAAAGGTATGTACTTAGAATGTCTCGATCGGGGTATAATTGCTTGTGCTGGAGCCAAATTACATGAAAAGATTATCAAGGCTGTTGATGCTAGCTGGAACTCCTCTTGTTTGTAAGGCTTCTTTTGTTGCATATGATATAAATACATGCAAAGAAGGTTACTAAACAGGATAGGAAAATGATTAATTTTTTTAACATTCCTGTTCTTGTTTATATAGCATCATAGGGAGCAGCTTGTGTCGACGTTAACCTCCCCTGTGAGGTTCTGTTCTGTATGTAGACCGTAGAAAGAAAAAAAAAAAAACCCTCTATTGTAAAGCTTGGATGCAACTTTATGCTCCAGAAAGCAATTTGCAAAAAATATAAATATATATAACATGATAATTTGCAGAATCTATATGGTTCTCACACTTGGAGCTAACATAATAGTTGGATGTAGTGACTAGTGAGCTCTCATGTGACTTGCAACTGGATACAAACTGCAGTGGTGATCAAGGGGAACCACATCTATTAGTCTTCCACAAGGTTTGGAGACCAAGTCGACCCAGGCCTAGGGGCAGATAGCCATCCAATTTTGAATTGTGACTTTGTGCTGTTCCTGCAGATATAACTGCAAAATGAGCCTAAGCCCAGTTGGGAAGCTTTTAAAGACTATTATTTACTACATTAATTGAACTGCAAACCTAAATAAGAAGGCCCTGAAATCCTAGACACGATATAAGGCTGTAGTGGAATTAAGCCGAGTTTGGGATCTACAAGATTAGAAGTCCCATACCATCTCACAGTTGCCAGTTATCACTCAAACCAACAGCAAATTATTTGATAATGAACTGTTGTATTGTGAGTGAACTGGTGTGTTGTCCTGCAAGCAAAATCTGTGAGTAAAATCACTTAGTTGTAAAATTTATGAAGACAAACAAAATCAATTAATTTGTTTAAGAAATAAACTCTTCCTTTGAGAAACACACAAATATCATAAACAATGCAAGAAAAAAAAAAACAGCATTTCATCTTATAAAAAATATCATTTCTCGTATTTTTTTGAAGTAGAAGCTTAATGTATTTTTAATCTGGTTATATAAAAATTACATTGCACTCTCAGAAGTTAAACAACTGATTTTTAAATCATTACCAAACACTTTTTAGCCCTTTTAATTGTTTTATTTTAAAGCAAAGCAGCAAAAACTACAAAAACAGAGACTCAAATAGACTATTAGTCTTCTTGTTCCCTGTTATTTCCACTCCTCATTTTATCCTGCCCATGACGGATGGCAAATAAGCAAATACATGAAAAGCATATAATGCTTGAACATTTGAAATTAGAACTTAGAAGAAATCCTGAGTAGGAGGGGGTTTAACATTCACAGATGTGGATTTTTCAGAAACGTAGGATTTGAATTTTTTTGTGTAGTTTTCAGGATCAACAAATTTTTGGTCAGTTTATATATCATGATTAAATCCCTTTCTTATCAGGTATTAAGCAGGCATTTAATCTCGAATTGGTGCATTTTTAGAAATTTCTTTCCTCTAAAATAAAAATCCAAGCACGAAGAGACCCATTTACCATGTTAGCCCAAACCTACAGAAGTAGGAACAAACTTGATTCTGTAGCAGGTATTCCAAGTTCAAGCAAATTATTAATCCTGCAGTATGGCCTGAAAGTCCAAGCGTAAAAGCACACTACATGGGGTGTTGGTCCACCAAAATGGGAAAACTAGTCAGGTTTTGAATCATCATGTAGCTGATAGGTATGACACCTCATGCCTGATACTGAAAAGAAACCATCACCGTTCTTTTGCCAAAAAGCCCAAAACAGCATTAAAGAAAGCATGGATTCTAATAATTTCGGATTGACTTTTAGTCCTTTAATATCATGTTGTCATCAATCTTGTGGGGCAGGAACATTAAGAGTTTTGTGGCTTTGAGTTGGCTACATTGAAGCTAAATGAGTCCTGTACATGTTCTTAGCCTTGCTTTACTGGTATCTGCTTAATTTTTAGTTCTTGCCTTCCTGTATTACTGGCAGGGAAAATGAAAAGGACCATCAGGAACTGGTTTTTGATAAATATGGACAGTTGTTTTTTAAAGAGAAGGTCTATGAGCAATCAATCCCATTATTATTTTTCATTGAATTTTCCATCATCCCATCATGGAAATTGTCCAAGCAAAAGGGCTTTAAAAAAGCTATCAATGTCGTGTTAATGGAAGTTAGGTGATTTGTCTAGAAGGGAACCTAAAAGCATGACATTGCTAGGAAAGTTATGATAGGTTTGCAATGAAAATCTCAATTAGTGGGGTGCAAATTAGTATTAGAAAGAGCAGTTTTGTGCCAACACAGATTGTAAGCTGAAAATTACATAGTATTTATTAGATTTTTACACATATTACGTTATGAGTCAAATAAAATACATAAAAAAATTATTTTATTTTGATATCACGTGTTACATTATACGTATATCAAAATACATCAAATTTTATATTTAATCGATTATTCTTTATATTTTTATAAATTTTTTATAAAAAAAATTATTCAATAGTATAAAGAATATCGGGACCAATGGATTCTTAACTAAAAATTTATTTTATAATTTTTTAAAATAGTTTTTTGAATAATTTTTTATTAAAAAATTAAAGAAAAAGAGGATTAAAGGGACCAAAACGAAATAAAAAAAAAGGACGAAACTAAATAAAAAATATCTATGAATGGAAAAAATCATATTTAAAAAAGTAACAAAAATGTAATGTTATAAAAAATTTTATAATACATATATTAAAAACGTTTAGAAACTATAAAAATAACACTTCATAATATAAAGAATAGTGCATTTAAATCGAGTGAATAATGAAATGAGTTAAGTGAATAGTATTTCAAATAGTGAATGAATCGTAAATTATGGTTTTATTTTAATTATAAAAATGTTATTATAAAATAAAAATAAATAATATTTTAAATAGTAAATTTTAGTTTTATTTATAATACTTGCAATTAGATAAAGGTATCGTAGATCTTTGAAAGGATTTAAAGAGGGAACTGAACCAAGGTAAAAAGGATGGGGAGCCGACCTATAAATGGGACAGGAGATTCTTAAATAAGCCCATTGATTTTTCTACCAAGTATAATTAATAAGGCTACTTACCTACAAACATCTGTATTGAAGTTTAGGCAACAAATCAATCAAGCCAGAAGTCAAAAGCATTCTTAATTGCCATATCCTAAAGCAAAACAAAAAAGGAGGATGGTTGTTTCTTGGTTCAAAATTAATGTAAATGGTGTTAGGTTTGTTCTGCAGAGAAATTGATGGATGTCGTGTGAGTAATAGTAAGGCTTGTCTGCATGGACTCGATCAAGATGTCAAAACTAAATCAGTGGTCGGCCCTCCCTTTTAAATATTTCAGCCTCTCTTGTCTGACTACTTGCTTAGTAGTGCTGGGCAGGGTTTTCCATTTATTTCTTTTAATCAATTTTTACGAACCTATTCTTTATATTAATTTTTATATTAATCAAAATTAAATTTATTATTTGTTGAATTAAATCAGTATTAAAATATTAGATTGTATTTAATTTTAAATAGATTTTAAAAACTGAACTCGTCGAGTTTTTTAAAAATGAGAATCAATCTTTTAAATTAATACAGAAATACGTTTTTTTACCATTTTACTAAACAATTACTTACGTGTTATATATATATATATGGTCTCAAAGGGATGCATTATGATTTGTTGTAGTCCTATTATGAGTATAACAGAGGTGCCACGCTTGGCAGCACATTCAAAATCAAGCTTAAATATCCACTACTAAAAAGAACAATGCATTTGTTAGATTCATTTCCTAAGTTGAAAGATCACTTTGAACATCCATAGACAGCTAAAAGAATAAAATTTCTCCTAAAACGTTAAACTATTTGAAATTCAATAACTGACCTTTTAATTTATGTTTTGATCTCTCTTACTCTCTCTCTCTCTTTTTTTAATTTTGTCATTCATTCTCAAAAAATAACAATTTCATAAATATTTTCAAAATCAAAATTATTTAGTGAGATTTATTTGAAACTTTCAAAAAAATTGAAATCAATCCGGATTATTTTTTAATTTTTTTGTTTTTTTATATTTTTAATGTTTAAAAAATAAACAAATATAATTCTCGATCTTGATTTTTTTTTTTTGAAATAGATTAGATTTTTCTTAAAATATGTAAAAAACTTCTGATCAAAATATCAAAAATTATTTTTTTTAGAAAAAGATGATGGCTGAAAATCATAGAATAGACTGAATTTTTTTAAAAAAAAACAAAAAATTCAGATATAAATTAAAATTTTAAAAGCTGATTTTTAATGAATTAAAATTTTCAGGTAAGGTTTGACTGTTTTAATCTCCGTAAATTTGTGGGTCTATATCTAATGCAACCTTCAATTTCATTGTGTAAAGTAGCATGAAAAATATAATGAATATTAAGGATAAAATAGGATACAATGTAAGACCAGGTGCAGATCATTTGAACTTATTTATTACTCGCTGAAACCTGTTGACTTCTACACCAAATTGAAGCGTGTATGGATAATGCATGGGATCTGTGATTGCCATTTTTAGGTATAAACCTTTTTTTTTCTTTTTTTTTAATGAATTTGCAGATTGGAAGTTCGTCACATTTATTCCATGTTAATTACAAAGCAAACAACTCTTGGCCAGGACCATTCCAATAAATATTTATTTATTTCTGACAGCATGGTACTTGATGGTACACATGCTGGGTGTCCAATCCCAGATCCTTAGTACTTATACTTCCTTTTTCTAGATATTTATCTTGAGAAAGCATGCAAAAATGTTGGGTTACCCTAGATCATTGGTGGATGAAAGAGTTTAATAACACTCAACAAATATCGGAATTTAGATTGAATAATTTTTTTGTATTCGCTGAAAAATGATTAATTTAGAATGCAAAATGTGAAAAAAAATTATTGAGTAATTTCATATCGGTTATAAAAATAAAAAAAACTGAATGTTTGGTTACGAGTAAAAGAGAAAATCTTATTTTTTAAGCTAATTGATTCATCATATGATTCATGTGTATGAATCTCTACTTTGCAATTTTCTTTTTCTTTTTTTCTATTACATGATATACTTAATATATTTGTTGGTTGCTAAAAATGGCTATAAATAGTACTTTTCTCTTGGCCTTTTTCATAAACATTACATTACTTCATTAGCCAGTAATTATAAATAAATCTTTTTAATTTTGATAAACAAATTAATTGATTTATTTTATCTTAAAAATTAATTATTTAGTTTTTATTTATTTATATTTTTTAAAAATAGAATAAATAAATATTTATGAAAAGATTGATGAGAAAAGAGTGTATTTTTTTAAAAATAAAATAATATTAAATTAAATATAGTATTATATTAAGGAATTAAATAATTAGTTTTTGAAACAAAAAATAATAATTTATTTATTTTCCAAAAACTTAAAAAAACTAATTTATAATTCTCTCCTTCATTCACACATATGAATGGTTTTATTGTATTTATACCGAAATCAAAGCTTAAAACATTTTAAGGTATGATGCATATAACTAATTAAATTACTATCTTTCATCTTACTAAAATTCAGTATTGAAATCATCAAATGATTTTTCTATAAGTAAAAAAGGTTATTCTGGTTTGGTTAAAATGAAGATTCAATTATCATCATTTATAAATAATTAGCCTTGATAAGTCTTTAAAGATACTAGATTTAAACTCATTTGGCATAAAAAAAAAAAAAACCTAATGATCGACTAAAAATTAAATATGTTATGAAGTTAGCTTAATTTAAGAAATGATAGATTTAGTATTAATTTTATGCAAAAGCTAGTTAGAAAATAACTCACCATCTATCTATAAATCTAAGAAGAAGAAAAAAAAAACAGTAATGAAACAATAGATTGAATGAATTTCTTTTTACCACCTGAATCCACCTTTCATAAACTTAATAGATGAACACTGAAAGGATGTTATAGATATTAAATCAACAAAGGTTTCAAACCTCTTAACATGGACCATGCCTAATTATCATGAGAATTCCACCTTTCTCCCCTTTTCAGTTTCCACTATAAAGCATGGACCTCAAATGTTGAAGAAATTTTGCTCACTTCAGCCATGGCATCAATATCATACGTTACTTTCATGATCCATTCTCCTAGCAAATCCCAACCCTTGAAAATCATCAAATCAAACAGTGAATGCCAAAGACAGAAAGCCAAAGACACGTACACAAAAGTTCATCTATCAAAGATTACACAATATCGTACCCTAAGAAATTATAAATGCAAGCGCCATAATTGCAGCCAACCAAATGTATTGATGGAGGCCCCCTCCTGCTCAACTGCCTTCCACCCTTGCTCAATAAATGCATCTTTTTGCCTTTAAATATTCCTTCACGTTGCACCTACTTCTCTTCTCATAACGTTCTGAGAAAACAAGCCATCCTTATACAAAAATGAAAACCTTTGGTGCCTTCTTTCTTTTAGCTTTTTTGCTTGTTTCATGCTCCCTATCCATTGCAACCCGACCTGAACCCGATCCAAAAAAGTCGACAAAAGGCAACCCCACCAACCAAAACAACAAAGCAGGTGGACATGACGGTGGGTTCTTTGGATCCGGATCCGGGTTTGGTATGCCCGGGTTTGATAAAGGGTGGGGTAATATTGGTGGTGGGTATGGAGCTGGGTTTGGTGGTCCAAAAGGAGGGTACTCTAAAGGTGGTGTTGTAAGGGGCAGTGTGGTGTGCAAAGAGAGAGGCCCATGTTATAAGAAGAAGCTGACTTGCCCTGCCAAATGCTTCAGCTCCTACAGCCGGTCAGGGAAGGGCTATGGAGGTGGTGGTGGGGGCGGTGGGTGCACCATAGATTGTAATAAGAAGTGTGTTGCTTATTGTTAGAGGGAGTTGGTGGAAGTATTGGATTATGGCATGGCAGCCAGTAGCCGGTAATAGTTTTATTAGTTTTAGTGATTATGTATGTAATGATGCGGTGTAAGGATGAGTACTGTATACCATATTAAATAACATGGACTATATAATATATGGGATGTATGAGCTTAATTATAAAACTTCAGTTTTGCTTCCCTTTGTTTATTATTATTATTATTATTATTATTCAGTTCTTGTTTATCAAATTTTGACGTAAACAATGCAGTATCAAAACTTGCTCTAATGTCTTAAAATATGAGTTTTGGTCGTAATGGGGTCCACTTATTCATCTGTCCATTACAAACAAGAAACTATAAGAGCTGGATCTGCTCAGCAGTGGCTTCTTTTTTAAGGTATCTATACGCTTGTTTTATCCCATGTTTACTTTGGTTATTCATGGTTTCAAAAGGTTTCGATTCTCAACTTTATTTATATATATTGCATTTTCATCCTTAAATATAGAGAGACAAGAGAAAAAAGAGAGCCATGCCTGATTTCGGCTAATTTGACTGTCAATTTTGCAGTCAAATTATTTATTTTGAAGAAGAGATTTTATTCATCATAGTTTCAAATTATAAATTGCTTGAAGGAAATAGATGGATTCTCAAAATATTTTGAATTTTGATTTTGATTTTGATTTTTTTTTGCCTATAGATAGGATCTTACAAAGTAGGGAGTTAGCATTTGTAGGTAGTAGTTATTAGAACAAGAAAGGAAACTAGATTACTACGACGGACTATATTGGGTCACTGTTAAAAAAATGATGGGCTATTCTGCTTTATGTTTTTGGCAATGGAGGTGTTTTTTTATAAAAATCAAATCCTCTAAAAAGATGATTTGAAACTGTGATTTCTTGCAAATGCAAGAAGCTAACCAATTAGTTGTTAGGATTTGAATTTTTGAATTTGATTTAGCTAATTTTAGTATAAATTTTAGAGCATGATTATTTTATTATTTTTGTTAATAATATATTAATATAATTTATATGATATATTTTTATGATTTTTAAATGAGTGACATAAAAGTGTGTGTATGTTAAAAAGTTAAAAAGTTAAAAAGTGTATTTTAGATAATTTGTTCTCAAATTTTTTTTGCAAAAAATATAATTTTTAGAATAATCAATTAAAAAATAGAATTCACTTGTTTTATTTACATCTATTTATCAAAACTAATTTTGTAGTATTTTTTATTTCAATTTAGTAAATTTAAATTTATCAAATATATTTTTTATAATTTAAATGTATTTTTAATATATATTATTTTTTCGATGTAATTTTTTTGACAAAAAAAATACTAATACATATTTTAAATTTTAGATAAATTTTCTATTCAAGTGTTTTTATTTAAGAATCAATGCATAAAGAAGAAAAAATATGTTTTTTTAGTAGAAAATTTATGAAAAACATAAAAAAATAAATTAAACATAAAATTATGATTGAAAATTTATAAAATTAGATATATATCTATTTTTTTCACCTTGATTCAATATATTTTAGTAAACCACATTATAACTTAAGCTATCGAACTAAAATAATTTTTTCAAATAATTCCTTTGTCTGTAACGCAACTCTAGCGGCCAAACTACTGACTTCCTAAATCAGGTAGAGTGATGGCAAATCGCCGTATACTTTTACATGGTTGAAGAAATGAGCTCTTAAATTCCATCTTCCCATCTACCATTCCTGCTTCGAGAAGATTTTCTGTTCAGCCAAGAGTTATACCAGGTCCTACCGATTCAGCTACAGACTCAAGAGCCCATTCTTTTTGTCAGTTTAGCCAAGGGTTTAGGGCTAAGAAAGACGGTTCGTATAGAAGCCAAATTTGAAGAGACCACTCCTTTTATCAAATGTTTGCTTTGCTTTGTTTTTTTTTTTTTTTTTTTTTTTGTACATTGCAACAATTCCTTCCCACTTGAAAGATTTAATGGAATGCATTCTGCATAACAAATTGTTTCATGGGACTCTCTTTCTTTTGTGTCAAACTGTAACACTCGGCTGTTTTGGACTGAAAGAAGCCCTTCATAAATCATCCAACCAATGCTTTTTAACTCCTATCGCCACGGATCAATAAGCTTGTAAAGCAATATGTTAAAAGCGGCTTTCCCTGCCAAATTGCTTTCTGAGATAATTTTGCACGGAGACCCCATTTCCGATTTGGTATTGGATAAGCCACCCAAAGACGAACTGGTGCATTCGTTAACTGCCTTTTTAAGGCCTCCGCTTACATTCAAAACCAAGAGGGTAGCGTGGGAAGCAAACAAATTTACCATCCAATCCAAGCCTCAATGGGTTGTTTTATACGACATTTTCCCAGTTTTAAAGTCCTGCAAAAGATTGATTCAAGTTGAGCTCCTGCAAACACCAACGAGGTACATGTGAATTTCCAAAGATTATTATGCATCTCCAAGTAATCCTATCCAGCTTTCAACAAAAGGAGGAAAAAGGGACACGCCTGGAAAATCTTTAACTATACTCTCAGCAAATCATTTACAAGGATATGGCACTTGCAAGTAAATGTAACAGTAATGAAATTGATCTAACAAAGCCACGCTGATCAAGCAAGCTGTGTTTCTATCCCAAATTTACGTGGCATCCCAAGTTCATGCAGCTAATGGCATTTACAACCTAAAATCCACACAAAAGGTCGCCGAGATGCTTTCTTCCAAGCTTATAGAATCAAGCTGCTGCCCTCAATGCTCCTCTTGCAGCTTCACGCTTCATCTCGGCAGCTTTACCACTTCCACGGAAGTACATGTATACTTGCTGCGCAGCAAGAAGGAAACAAAGAAGTGAGAAATATTTTCAAGAAAACTTCTAAAAGCTGCATGGGGCCTGCTATAATGATGCAAAATGTGTTATTCTGAACAATTCACCACAAGGAAAAACATGGGAAAACGTGGAAATTTACCTGAATAACCCAGATGCTCAGCAGTGATTCAACACAGAAACAACCAAATCCAATGAAGTAGAAGATCTATAAGCAAAAGAAAACAATTAAAAATCCAGCCTACAGAAAGCGATTGCCATGTTGATTCTAGTAATAAAACCAACAGGAAGTGGATAACTAATGGAGAAAAGTTGCAGGAAGAAATCTAGGAAAAGAAAGAAGTGAAGGGCTAACTTATCTTGTTCAAGTTCTTAATAATCACAAAACAAGGATTTAGAAGAATTAGATAATCAGCTGGAAACGTTACAAATTGTTCTTACCCCAGCTAAAGCATTGTCACCCACAACATCAATTGCAGCGAGGATACCACTGATTCAAAGTCCCACAAGAAGAAACCATCAGCCACAGGATTTTGCATTATAAAGAATGATGATGTTTTGAAATTCGCAAGAACATTAATCTGAAACACAAACAGTAGTTGAAAATACTTGGAAGAAACATACGTGAGAGATTTTCCTTTGAAAACTATAGGAGGAGCAACAGCAGCAAAAATACAGAAGCCAATGTGAAGCTGGGGACAGAAAGATGGAACAAAAGATTCGGTAATCAATTTTCATAGGAGATGAGCTGTATGAAATATAAAACATGAAAAACAATAAGATAAAAATTTACCACATAAAACAAGAAAAACCATCCGAACCTCATAGCACTCTCAGTCCTGCATGAAGAGTTTAAATTGATTGAATAAAGGGGAGAGCTAAATTCAACAGCACAGTAGACTGCAATAATATTTGTACGTTTTGATATAACCATAGATGAACTATCAGTGTGTAATTCTTATTTGATTGAGGTAAAAATCTAGATTCACAGTACCCTTGTTCGCATTTTGTTTCAATCATCTAAATGTTAAACCACTGAATCAGAATAATCTTAACCAAGGAAGTACATGATAAACATATGTTCACCAATAATCACCTACTTAACAGTCTCACATAATTTCCAAGCTTCAAACAGCACTTTTTGACCTCTCTAACAGAAAAAAGCTTAGAATTCCAAGACTTTTTTTTAAAAAAAAAACGTAAAAAGCCCAAGCACAGCAACTCAACTCAACAAAACCTCAGTCCCGAACAAACTGTTTTTTCAGTTCACTCTTCAGCCTGGTAAAGATTTAAGAATCACACAACAGTTGAAGTAAACAAGGGAGATAAATACCTAAATGCACGATAGAGTGGACGATACCACAAAACATAAGCTCCAGGAACTCCTGCTATGAAGTAGATAATAGCAAGAAACCAGATTTTCACCCCTGCAAAAAAAGATGTTTTAACATAAGATGTAGAGAATTTTAAGACGAAATAGATAATGGAAAACCTTGCATACACAGGATAGATGCAGCACATTTTTCTTAACTAACCTCCCCCTTTGATCCATGCTGTTGTAACAGCTATGACATTCCAGAAAAGACAAAAAGCCACCCCTGCACAAGATCACCATTCATCACTTATACTGAGCCATCTTACAATGTAATTAACTGTGCACGATTACATCAAAGTAATTGTTTATAATACAATAATGAAAATCACATTGGAACCAGTAAAATATGCTTACTTCAATCAATTAGATTGCCTTTTTGCTAATGAGCTTTCCATCTTACACATGATGTTAGATGTAATCTAGGTCCAAAGCAGAGGTGTACTGTAGATATTATATGATATAAAGCTGCCTTGGCTATAGGGTCCATAATGAAGGTAAACAAGCAAGTGTTTCAGTGCAAAGATTGTATGACAGGATGAGGGGAAACATAACGCAATTTAGACCCAGGAATAGTGAGTGCGTTTAATTAGAAGGGAGCATGAAGAACGATAGTTTCTTTCCTTGGGGAGTAGACTCGCAGCTGGGAGGAGAGGGGTAGGGAAGAAGAGGATGGGAAGAAAAAGATGCATTTTTTCCAGATGACCTCAGATTCATCACAGTAATGATGCAGTTTACAAAAAACAAAGGCAGAGTCATAAGTTTGTTGTCAAAAAACTAGGATTTCTGAAGGACACTGCTCTTAACCAAGACAGGAGACATTTTGGGACAAAATTCAATAAGAAATAAAAATTGAGACTCTTCACCCTTACCGTACAATGTTAGTGACTAGGTGCTTAAAAAACCTTGCGGATGCTTCACGTTTAAAAATAGTCCCACTTTTTTTTTTGATAAAAAACAAATTGAGCAGAAACTTAACTAACACATGTAATTCATGAAGTAGCAACAACCACAATACAATGCAGATAAATCTTCCCGGTTGGGATAACTTTAGAGGGCCAAAGGTACATGCCCAGGACCCCATCCAATAAACTAGATAGCTGATACCTTAAAATAATTGCTGGGAAATATCACAAGAATACCATGTCTAAATATTTTGACAAGGATTCGTTAGGCAAGCCGCCAACTTGACAAGGATTTATTAGTAAAAAAAAAAAAAGAGTAGGAATATAGACTTTCACACCTACAAGTGTTCACAAAAATGGATGGTTGTTTATAATTTGATGCTAACAACATCAGTCCACAGATCCAGGTGAAGGCTCACATACCTAAAAAGGTTGTAAATGCAACATACTGAAGTTTCTGTAGATGAACTGGTATTTCATTTGCAATATCATGATGGATAATTGGAAAAAATGATGGCCAATTTTTCTCTTCGAGGACAATTCCAGCTGCACATGGAAAGAGAGAACTAAAAATGTAAATAGCATGATGAAACTAGAACACGAATTGGCCATATAAACAAAAATATTCAGTTGCTCAAATAATACATTCAACCAAGTAGTCAAATATTTCACCTTGGAAAAAAGTAGTCTGGTAGACAAGCAACATTAGAAAACAGGAAAATCCAGAAGAAACAAGTAGCAAATTGACAAGTTTTGCAAATAAAATATGCCTACTCATTTTGACACCAACCTAAATATATACAAAGGACTTAGTTTAGTTTATTCATTTCTTTTTTCTTCTGTGCAAACCAAAGATCATATGCCAGGTGATGTGATAAGGCTTTGATCAAGAGCATGTTACCTCTTGCAGCTGCATCTTCTTTCCTCTTTACCTCCTGTTTAGCACCAGAAAAGGCAGATTAATGAGATTAATAGAATGCAAGGATCTGAAGGGTGAAGAAAGTCTCAAAAGAAAATCATCCATAATATGTCTAAGATGAAAGGATTAGCCAACACACAACCTGAAAGATGTCCAAAAATTATGTCTGGATATTAGATAAATAAACACTGTTCTACACTAAAGCTTTTACAGCAGTATAGAACAGGTTCTCTAAATAAACCAAAACTGGAACATAAATACGATATCAAAAGACCATTTCACATCCTTTAAAGAGCTTTGACAGCAAAAGGGCCATTTCACATAGGCCATAATTGTAAGGACCGGTAAATGTCTTCCTTCTAAACGACCTTTTTCAAGGCAAAAAAAATAAAAAAATAAAAAATAAATTGCAAAAGGGCTTGAATTTAACAATTCTACCAGAACATACCTGCTCCCGCCTTCTCAGTTCAGACTCCCTAGCCTGAAGTTCCTTCTCTTTCTTCCTTAAATCCTAGATTCACAACTTACTTGAGTGAGGAAAATCAAGTATAACGCTAATAACCTGAATGGAAAATATGGACTCTGGTTTTCACCAACAAAATAATTTCACCCATACCGTTGCTGCATCGATCGGAATGTCAACTGTGGTACCATAATTGTAAAAGTCAGCAGGTTCAGGAGGGAGTGGCGAAAGCCTCGAGTTTGAAGCAGGAGGAACACTCTAGAAAATTATCAATATCATGAGCAAGGATTCCAGAATTCAATACACAAAAAGTTGGTACCAGAATTTATTGGTTTAATATTGGAAAAACATAAGTTAATTTTTGCAAGAATTAAGCTTACTGTTGTGTTAAATGCACTGCCACCATACTTTGGCTGCCCCGATGCTTTCGATCTCACGCCTGGGTCCTAGTTATAAAAACATCAGAATAAAATTATCAAGCTTTGGAAACATACTAAAGCTAACCATCTAACGTTCATCACATTCAAAAAATAAAATAATAAATAAAAATAAAATAAAATAAAATAAAATAAAATAAAATTCTTGAAACGGATCCGGACGGGCTCTACCCAATGGCTTATCTCTCCCACCAACCTAGACAACTCACATTTTTTTTTTTTTTATAATGAATCTATCAATGTTTAACTAACAACTTTCCCTACATAATTTCTTCAATTATTTCAGATACGCGAAATTACTTAGTCTGAATAATCAACAATTATTACGAAACTGACATAATTAAGTACTTAAAATGCCTTAGATTAAAAAAAGTAATCAAAATTAAGCAATAATTAAATTTCCATAACAGAAAGCTACATCAATCATAAAACCATGAAAGTCAACCACCAAAAAGAAAATCTCACTAAACCCTGGAATTCTGAGAATTTTCTCTCTAATCACTTCTAAAACCTTTAAAAAAACCCGTAAACCCTTCCAAAAGAACTCATATTAAAAAATTCAGCTACTTGTCTTAAGAAAAAAAAAAAACAAAGAAAAAAAAAGCTAGACAAAGAGTGAGACTTACAGAGAAAGGGTTAACTTCTTCTTCATCAAAAGGGTTAGGATCATAACGACCAGCCATCACAGAAAGCAGAAACCAAAGGTAAGAGAGGCTTCAAAAAAAAAAAAATAGAGAAGAAGAAGAAAGAACCAAGCTCAAACTATGAACAGAGAAAGAGAGAAAAAAGGAGAGAAGGATCGTTTGTTTATTAAGGAAGCAAAATATTTGAAAGAAAGAAAAGGAAATGTGGAGGCAGACAAAGACAACCAAGTCAAAAAAAAGTTATACAATTCTAGAGAGAGGGAGAGTTAGAGAGAGAAAAAGTTGGACTTGTCCGTCTCTCGTTAGCTTCTATTATTACATATTTATACTTACGGTTTTCTGTAAGGAAATGAAATAAAAGGTGGGGCAGGTGAGCAGTTGAGAAATTCGTTTTTTTTTTAAAAAATCTTTTTTATTAGTTAACTTTCCTGTGATTATTGTTCTTTAGAAAAGCAAAAAGAAAAAAAAGAAGATGATTTTGATTTTGAATTTATCAACTGAACTTTTGTTTTAATCTTTGTCTTGTTTTGGACATCATTGATGATGTTTTTTTTTATGGGATGTAAGATGAGGTGAAATTTTCGGATTTTTATTAACTAATAAGTAACATTTCTAATCCTTCGCATAACTAATAAAATTCATAATAATATAATATATATTTTACTAACTTGGTTTAAGTTAGTTTTAGATATCAAAAAGCTTCTAGTTTAACGATGGGATAATGATCTTTTACAAGAGGTCACATATTCAAATTTTAATAGACTAATTCTATTAAAAATTTTAGATACGTGAATTAAAAAATTAATTTTAGACATATTTAGCAAATTTGTCTGCACTTTATTGTGGGAATGTTGTCTTTGGCTGACAGTGTAGTTGTTAAAATTGGATATTGCAAAATGGATCAATTAGTTAATTTTTTTTATCCATAAATCATTTGTTTAACATAATATTTAATGAAAAAATTACTATTACCATAAAAAAAAATCCCAACAAAACCAAAATACATTTCTCTAGTGCCATTGCAAATATTTTTGATAAAAAAATTTAAGAAAGATCATAAATAATTAAGAAAGATCTAAACTTTAATTTCAATAGTTGTTAAGAAGCCACAGAAAAGTTGATCCATTTCGCGATCATCCTCAATTAGTCGTCGTCTTCTAGACCAACGTCCCTACGCCCCTAGCAGCGTAGCCGACCCAGCGTTGCTAGATCCCATCGTATTTTTGTTTGAGTTTAGGCTAAACTGAACTAATATTTAAAAAAGGAAAACTTCAATACTTTAGAAGTGCTTGTTCTTTTTCCACTTTATCTACTTAAATTGAATATTAACAATTCTATTAAAATATATATATATATATATATATTTTTTTTATGGAGAGCTTATGGGTTTTTGGCCTACAGAATAAGTAGTATTTCCTTATTATATTATATAATTACTAAAAAAAATTAGAATTACTAAAACTCGAGTCTTATTTCACTATAAAAGTAATTGAATACACAGTTTCTAGACTAAATATATCTGTATAAATTGACATCATTTTTAATCACATAAACTAAATTATAATCGTTTTTAAAAAAATTGATTTGAGTGTAAGTAATTTTAATCGTTTAAACAAATGATCTTGAATTCAAATTATTGTGTATACAAAAAACTCTATATGTAATTTTTTTTGTCTTGTACGTTCGATAAAACAATAAAATATTAACTTGGACCTTTAAGTTTAATATGGTTATTTTTTTATCTTGTACGTTCGATAAAACAATAAAATATTAACTTGGACCTTTAAGTTTGATATGGTTAAGAGGATATATATATATATATATATATATATATATATATATATATGAGAAAGTGTGTGAAATAGAATTCAAAGTTCCAAAATTTCGGATGACATGTCCCCAAAATATAATTATAATGCAGTCCGCCCCAACCTATCTTCCTTCTCGAAGTCATCTTCCTGTTTATTTGCCTAACCTATGACCCATACCATACACAAAATTATATTGTGAAGTTTTTATATTTTATGTTGATATACGGCCAATCAACGACGTCACTTGGTGGCTTTAGCATTCCAAACAAACCTAACCCTTTTTTTTTTTTTTTTGCCCTTTTCGTGTTATGAGGAATATTCGAACCACTCACGTTTATTTGAGTACAGGTCAAATGAATTCCATACAGATGTGTAGCCAATTCGACATAACTGACATTTAAAATGAATGTTCATGGATCCAACTGATGGTCCACAACTACGAAAGAACACGATTCTTACACATTTGTATGATCAGACCAGACTTGAACCATAATTTCACATGTTTTTATCCTACCTTATAGCCAGTAAGTCATCGTTGTGGCAGTGGGTTTACCATTTTAAACCATCTCCAAAGCTAAACCACTGCGACGGTAAAGCATGTATACTTGTTGTAAAAGCCAGATGCTGAGCAGCGATTCTAGACAGAACAGCCCGAAACCAGTGAAGTAGAAGAAGATCTCAACATCATAACCATCACCAGAAATGTCCAATGCACTCAGAATACCAGTGAGAGATCTTCCATTGGCTATTACAGGAGGAGAAACAGCAGCAAAAATGCAGAAGGCAATGTGGAAAGGATAGAACAGGAAAAAACGACCCAACAAGGAAGTGTTTCCTGTCTTGAAAACTAGACAAAGTGGCTTATACCACAAAGTTGCTGCTTGAAGCCCAATTATTAAGTAGGCAAAACCAAGGAACCAGATTTTTTTTTCCTACGCCACCCGTAGCATACAAAATTGTAACAGCTACAGTATTCCAACCAAGACACAAAGACAATCCTATAGTGGTTGCCTCTGCAACTTTATGCAACCTTTGCAAATGGTTTTGGTCTGTTTCATATGCAAAGAAGTCAACTTTATTGATGAGTAGACTAGTATAGCGAGGACCTGAAGCCATGAAAAGCTAACAAGCTTTAGAAGTTCCAAAATGTATAATATGATATAGGAAACAGAAAAGCTTGTCGAAAGTGAGCAACTACGGATAATAAAATGGAGAAAAGGGAAATGAATGCTAATATATATATATGTACAGGAGAAGCAAGAAATTGAAAGGAAATGAAAGGGTTAAATGTTTGATTTTATTACCCAACACGCTTTTGAAAAAGTAAAAAATAAGAAAGTCACAAGGAATTGCAAAGATGGAGCATTAACTAGAGGGTTCTTTGCCTGTTTCTAAACTCTAAAGTCTAAATATTAACCCCAACAATTTGTTGGAACAGGAACAAGTTAATCAGTTATTAGGTAAATTTTTTATCAATATAAAAATTTTAAATTTTAGAATGGTATTTTCAAAAAAATTAAATTTTATCATTTTTATTCCGAATAAGATTAGTCCTATCTCCAAGTATAAAATAAACGTCTAAATATTAAAAGCATATTTAATGTAGTAGTTGTATTCACTAAATTTTTTTTAATGAAATAAGGTTTGAGTACTATGGACTTTAACGTTTTTTTTTTAAAAAAAATGGGGGATGGCTATCCACATTATGCAACTCAAAAATCCATGAACTTCATATGAATTAAAAAAAAGTCTAAATGAATTTTGCAATCCACCAAGAATTGGTAATTAAATGTGTTTGATTGTTGAATAATAACAGTATTAAGGAAAAAGGACATGTTTATTCCCTAAATATCATTAAATTTTCATTTGGATTCCTAAATAAAACTGTTTGCCAACCGTAAGTATTAAGTATTGGTAGAAACTTTCCAAACCGTGTTTATTGAATACTGGAAAATTGGTGCTCTCTGTAATTGCCAGTTATTTTAATTCGTCAAAGTATTTTGTTTTCGTGCGCAAGGGAACATGGACTAGGCCTTCTAAAATGAAAGAGCTGTACCGCTGGGAGGAAGAAAAATCTTATATATATTTGAAGGTAGTGATGTGGAATGAGGGAGTCAAAGAGATTTTTTATTTCTTTTAAAAAAGAATGTGCTTTTCTGTTTAACAAATAATTCATTATTCTTGAGTCCTCGAACTCAAAAGAAATTAAGAAAAAAAACAAAGATTCTTAATCACTAATTTTATCTCTTAAAATGAGAATATGTCATCACCATCGAAAATAAAAATACTGCCAAAGCAACGAATAGAGTTGTTTAGTGCTATCTCAAATATTTTGATAAAAAATAAAATTATAAATAATTAAGTATATTGCAACAAAATGAAATGGAGAAGGGGAAATTAATGATTAGACAGGAGAAGCAAGAAATCCAAAGGAAATGAAGGGGTGCAGAGTTTGACTTTATTATTATAGACGCATTTGAAAAGTAAGAAATAAGGAAGTGAAAGTAATTGCAAAGATGCCTTCAAAAGAGGTTATCATCTCTTGAAAAGCCAAATCGAACCCTACTCAAATTGCTTCTAGGATGGAGATCATCTCTTGGAAAGCCACTTTTAGTTTACCAGGTCAAGTTAAACACAGATGGTGTTTACTGTAATTCTATTGGTCCATCTATTGTTGATGGTGTTTACGCAATGAATCAGATATTTAACTTCAAAATTTTTCTTACCACGTTGGAATTTGTTAGATATTATGCAGTGAATTTTGATGGGTTCTCATTGGATTATAAATGGCATGGAATGATGGCCATCGGCATGTACTTCTTAAAGTTGATTCTAAATTAGTTATTTAGTCATTGATCACTCATAATTGCAATCAAGGTATTCATGGCCAATTAGTATCCACCATTTGTGACCTTTTTCAGAAGTTGTGACATGTTCAAATATCTCATATTTTCAAAAAATCGAATTGCACAACAAACTGACCTGTTTTCCATGTCTATTCTCTTCCATTAGATGTTAATTGCCATGTTGATACTCCTTCATGATGTGCTAGCATTTTTTTTTGAGAATATTTGTAGAGTTGTGACTTCCAGACTTTATTCTTACCATTATTCCCTCTAGGGCTTTGGCTCTCCATTGTATATAAAAAAAAAAAAAGATTGTGAAGATTGAATATTAATTAAAGGGTTATTCTCATAGTTTGAAATAGCGATGGTAGTTATAATAACA